TTATTAATTATCAGCAAGTCCTTCTTCTTTCTCAATCCATCATGCCAAGTAACGACTACTCACATCAAATCATTTAATGTGTCTAGCTAGTTAAGCTTAATTGTATATGGAAATGATACATATTATACTCTTTAAACATCTCATTTCTTATAGTTTGTGATTATGCTCTAAATTATATATGCTTATTTTAGTCTTATATGCAAGTCACTTCTCACTTCTCACTATCTCACTAGAACTAATGAGATGTAATTAAATTATTGATGATGTTTAGAATATAAGATGGACCATGGATACATAAGTTTAGAAAATATCTAACCAAATGACTTAATTTATTTTAGTGGAGTAGATTATCCTTAAGTATAATTAATATAAAAAATCTAACATGTATCAAAGGTGCCATTCGATTGGGGGACCAAAAAAACAAAAAAGAAAGAGAAAAAAAATGAAGGAATGAAATATGGAAAAAAAATACAAGACATTAAAAAAAAAGGAAAAGAGAGAAGGAGAAGAAAAGAAAAAGAAATTGAATAGACCTACAACTTCGGGAACCAAAAAAAAAAGTATAAGGTCAACCAAGAAGGAGAAAAAAATGAGAGAGAGTAGTAAAGGAAATAGAAGAATATAATATAAAAAAAGTTTCACATCTAAAGATTAAAAAATAAATTATGGATATATAAGTTTAGGAAGTATCTAACAAAATGGCTTAAACTATTTTAATAAAGTATACTATCCTTAAGTATAATTAATATGAAAAATATAACATAGAAAAGAAAGAAATTTTCTAATTTAACATCATAAAAGGGTAAATTAGAATAAATTAATTATACACCCATCTTTTTATGTAAAATAATTTATAAAAAGGGTAGCATAGAATTCGAGGAAATACAGTGTTCACCTCCTTGTGCCTAATTTTTATAACAAAATCTAAAAAACCTTGACACAAATTGATTTTTCCGCGAAGTGTTTTGTCATAATGTTTTTGTTAAAGATTTGCGACCGATTTAGTGACAGAAAATTTTCCATCATAATTTTTCTGTTTTAATATGTTGTAATGATACACATTTTGTTGCCAATTTTCAATCATCAATTATCCGATTCTTTAAACATCTCACCTTTTATTATAATTTAAGTTTCATCATACGTGATGATATAATTTCTTACTTGAAAATTTATTTTGTTATTTTTTTTAAGTTGCAATGTTGAAGAAATATTTTTATTCTACATTTTATTTTTCAATTAAAAATAATTTAACAAAAAGAAAGCATGAATCATTCAAATCCTCATCTATTTGATTAACATAGGCGTCTCAAGTTATTAAACATAGTAACTTAATGCAGATTTTGTTATTGTTAATTATATTTAAATATCTATAATTAACAGGAGAGTGAGGTCTAGGAGAATAGGCTAACCCATTACAAATTTATAACATAACCAACCAAGGTTTAAATTTTTGTTGAAAAAGGTACTCATATTTAATGTCTATAATTATGTCTTGTGCAATTTTTTTTAATAGAAAGACATATGTGAGTAATAAAAAAATCTATAATTAAGGTGGGAATTAAAGAGATATATATTATGGAGGAAGAAAAAGATGTCGGGTGGCGGCATGCACATACTATGCATGCTATAAAAAAGGATCATTGTGTTTCTTGCTTTATTATTCACTTCATGATAAATGCCCCTACGTTCTACTGTTGCTTTAGTGATGTCAATTTAGTTTTAAAAATTTAAAATAATTTTATCATTAACAACAATCATTTTTTTTTATTGTATATCCTAGCTTAATTAATATATGTTTCAGCTAGACAAACATTTTTGTTGCACATCACATGTCTTGGTAGAAATCTAACCTTAAGTTAAAAAAGCTAATTAGTGCATGTAATCAAACCATAATTGAATTTTTTAAAATAAATAAATTTATTATATATTTATATATCTCTTTTATATTTCACATCTCATGTATTATATTATTTGAGAGATATTATATTATAGTTATTTTTTTAGTTTAATATGAACTTAATATTCTAAATTCTAATATTCATGATATCATTTAAATGATAAGATAACATATCAAAGGTAATAAAATATTATGAGTGTGGCCTGCAAGTCAGCTAGCTAAATATAGATTTAGGGATATACTCAATTTAAAATAATTAATTAATAACACCGGTGGTGAGTTATGAATAGAGGTTAGCAGGTTGTGTTAGCAGATGGTATTTTGAGATAATCTTATCGTTGCTAACGTTTATTGAGGCTTCCTTGACTAGTAATGGTTATTTTTAAGTTGATATCATTGCGCTTGCTTGCTAATTAGAAGATTCCCTCATATCCTTTTTTCTTCTAACTAGTCTCTTCTATATATGGTTTCAATTCCCAGATTTAGACATGAGACTTCAGGAATTCAACTACAAATCATCTAACAATGGCGAGAAGCATTTAGACTCTTTCACTGTAATTCTGAGGTGTAGAAATTCTGTGTGTGTGTGTGTGTGTGTTAATTAATATAGAATTTGTAAGAAGTTATGAATTTTATTTACTTTTCATCATTCACAATTCGTTTGATGAATTGCTTCTATATATATATATATATATATATTGCTTTGCTTGCAAAAATTGCACAAGTTTGTTGAAACCGATCAAAAGGAAAAAAAACAAGAAAAGAGGATGAGAAAATTGGAAAACTTCTTAGTTAGGGTTGGTAAGTTTGAGATATTTTCAAGACTTCGAAAAAAATAACTAAAAATTTAATTAATGTTATTTCTCGTGCTTCAAATGCGTGCAAAGGCAGAACTAATGATCATATTAATTATATGTATCTAATTTAGTACAAATACATTCCTTATTTTCACATATTTTTTCAAAAAGATACTTGACCTTGATTTGACAATTTTAAATATCATTTATTTCACTTTATTTAATAATTATTTTGTGCCCAAAAAATGTAGACCAAATTTTTAAAATGTGGTTAATTTACATTGATATATAAAGGATTTATCATTAAAAATTTATAAATAGTTTATTATTAATATACAATGGTATATTATTAATAAATATAATAAATTTATTATAATATAAAATATAATAAATGTCGAGTTATTTACTTAATTTAGTTATATCACATGGGTTATATTTGCAAAAGTGCCATTAGGTATGAGGATACATTTGATTGGAATTGAATTGGAATATACGCAGAAACATGCAGGTGGTCCACGCCTAGGTTTCGGATAGTGTTCACTTGAATATTCAAGAATGAATATATATATATATATATATATCCACACATATCACTTTATCCAAATATATAGAATCCTAAAAAAAAAAAAAAGATGGATTCTGTGTTACATCGCGCAAAATTGTTCCTAAAACGATTCGATAGAATAAGTCATCTTTTACAACCATAAATTAATTAATCAAAAAATTGCAATCTAAATTTGTTTAAAATAAATTTTAACTATTGGATAATATAGTCATCTTCAATTTCTAATGGGAATAAGACTTGTTATTATTGATGTTTGATAATAATCAAATTGAACTATTTAATATTGAGTCCTAGACAGAAAACAATATAATATTATAACATAAAACAAGGCAGTAATACTAAAAAGATAAATAAATAAGAGAATTCCAAATTAAAAAATATGCAAAGAATATTTTGCTACTTCCTACTTGTATGGGCATATTATTAAAAAAAAGGAAAAATATAGGAAAAGAAATTGAAGTTATGGTTTAGTGGAATATGGTGTGGATAACTTTCTTGGATCCTTGAAGACCCACCACATCACCGGCTAGTGGGCTATATATATATATATATATATATATATATTAATGTTGTAAAACAGAAAGACAAGGGAATGATGAAAAGTGGGACCAAAAGAAAAGCAGAAAAGAATTCCCGGAAAATTGAGAAAGTGTGTGTGGAACCATGCTAGACATAGGCATAATTCTATTTGCACATGATAAAGAAAAAGTGAAATGAAAATAATTTTTTTGGTAAGTTATTTAATTTGGTGTGTTCTTTTTTAACTTAATATCTCAAATTTATTTGTTTCCATTTATTTTAATCTTTTAGATTACCAGCTTGAGAAATTGGATTCTTTGACTTTATTAGATGGGCAGATATAAACAACGAAAAAGACAAAAAACTACTCACTAAAAGATGAAAGAGTTAAATTACGGAACCATATTCTTGGTCAGCTATTTTTAAGGGAACAATTAAAATGTAAAAATTGAAAAATTTACCAATGAGACACAACATTGAGAAACTAAAAAAAACAGAGGTAACATTATTAGTAATTTAATTATTTTTTATTACATATAGATATCCTCTTGTTGAAGATAATTTTATTTAAAATATAATCAGATAATAAATATAAATATCCCCTTCAATCGGATTCAAATTCTGTAAGAAATGAACCTTTTTGTTAGGCCTTCCCAGCCTTGTCAATATTTTTTTACCTATTGTTTCTACAGTGATGAAAAAAAATTATTTTTCTAATCTTAATTTCATATAAATGTTAATCATTCATACAATGTTTACATGACATTGTTAAAGTGTATGTATAGAAAATTATCAAAAAATTTATACTAAAAGCATTTGGATGATTGAATATATTTTATTTCTATTAAAACAACAGCAAGGAGAATAATATATTTAACCTAAATCAACTAACATTTTAAATAAAAAATTAGATCGTACCAATATGTTTGGTGTGGAATCAACATGCAAGTTCACGTTTTTTTTTTTTTGGGACAAAGTTCAAGTATTTTTTTTATTATATAATCATTGGTATATTGATGTAACAGTACAGGAGTAATAGTATAAGAGATTTGGATCATCTCTCTTGTTTCTTTCTATTTCTAATTAATTTTCATAGGAAATAAACGGAAAATGAAGGTTCAATCGTAAAGCATGTAATATTGATAAAAGGAACAAAAAAAATGGAAGTATATATGTTAATATAAGTAGGAGGGGTTGTAGAAATAGTAGCTAGAGAGGCCTTCTTGTGATTCTCTCTGTTTCACTCATTCATGTCCGCCAACAAAACCCACAGAAGCAAACTCGTCATCATGAAACTCCCTCAGCAACCAGCAGCACACTCAAAAAGCACTTCTCTTCGTCTTCCTCATCATCAATTCAAATCCTCCTCTTTCCGTTTAAATCCACCTCTCGAGACACCACCTTCTTCGTCATCCTCATCCTCACAACCTCTTCTTCAAAACCAGCCATGAAACCTCCTCCTTTTTCTTCTTCTTCTCTTTTCCCTCTCACATTCTTCTTCTTCTTCTGTCATATACAGCTTCTGGTTTTCTCTGCCACACCTTCTGCCATTGTCTCTTTGCTTTCTCTCAAGTCTTCCCTCATTGACCCTCACAATACCCTCCATGACTGGAACTACTCATCATCCTCCCAAGACCCATCTGTTTGGTGTTCATGGTCAGGCATCATGTGCCACCCACGGACTTCCCAGATCATCACCATTGACCTCTCTCAGCGTAATCTCTCTGGTTTAATCTCTCCCCAAATCCGATTCTTGACCACCTTGAACCACTTGAATCTTAGCTGGAATGACTTCACTGGGATTTTCCCACCTGCAATTTTTGAACTCAGTGAACTTAGAACCCTGGATATCAATCACAACTACTTCAATTCAAGTTTTCCACCTGGGATTTCGAGGCTCAAGTTCTTGAGAGTGTTCAATGCTTATAGCAACAACTTCGTTGGTCCTCTGCCTCAGGAATTCATGAGGCTTCGGTTTCTTGAGAGGTTGAATCTTGGTGGGAGCTACTTCAACGGTACGATTCCTTCAGGTTATGGGAATTTACCCAGATTGAAGTCCCTTTATCTGGCTGGGAATCTCTTGGAAGGTCCAATACCATTTCAGTTGGGGTTTTTATCAGAATTGGAACGTCTTGAAATTGGGTATAACCAGTTTTCTGGAGGATTACCTGAAGAATTCGCATTATTATCAAGTCTGAAATACTTGGATATCGCCTCATCTAATATTTCTGGCTCTCTGATTCATGATTTGGGAAACATGACTATGCTTGAGACATTGTTGCTGTACAAGAATCAGTTAGTGGGCGAGATCCCATCAAGCTTGGGGAATTTGGAAAGTCTCAATGCTCTTGATTTGTCAGACAACAAACTCAGTGGGTCAATTCCGGAGGAAATTTCGATGTTGAAGGAACTGACCATTTTGAGCTTGATGAGCAACAAGCTAACGGGAGAGATACCACAAGGGATAGGAGATCTTCCAAAACTCGAAACTCTGCTTCTTTGGAACAATTCGCTTTCTGGTATTCTCCCACAAACCCTTGGCTCCAATGGATTGCTCCAGAAACTCGACGTGTCTACGAATTCACTCACAGGTCCAATCCCACCAAATGTTTGCAATGGAAGTAAGCTAATCAAGCTCATTCTCTTTAATAATGAATTTGAAGGAGCTTTTCCAGAATCATTCACGAAATGCACTTCACTACTAAGGCTTCGAATCCAAAATAATCGGCTCAATGGATCCATACCTGAGGGTTTTAGCCTTCTTCCTAATCTCGCCTTCGTCGATATGAGCAACAACAACTTCACGGGTCGAATCCCGGAAGATTTCGGTGATGCTCCGTCATTGCAAAACTTGAATATCTCTGGGAATTCATTCGAAAATCCACTACCAAGCAATATTTGGAACGCTAAAAATTTACTGGTTTTCTCGGCGATCTCATCTAAAATTAACGGTCAGATTCCAGATTTCATAGGGTGCAAGAGCATTTACAGAATCGAATTGCAGGGGAATTTCATCAATGGTAGCATTCCTTGGAGCATTGAGAATTGCGAGAGGCTTATTGTGCTGAATCTGAGTCGTAATTCGCTATCTGGTATCATTCCCTGGGAAATCTCTGCTTTACCCTCAATCACTGATGTTGACCTATCGCACAATTTTCTCTCCGGTACCATCCCCTCCGGTTTCAACAACTGCACCACACTCGAGAACTTCAACGTCTCCTTCAATTCCCTCACCGGACCTATTCCTTCTGCCGGTTCAATCTTCTCGAATCTCAATCCCTCTTCCTTCTCCGGCAACGACGGCCTCTGTGGCGGCGTCCTCGCAAAGCCCTGCGCCATGGACACTCCCTCCCCCTCAACGGAGCAACAACATGATCATCCCAGGAAAACTACTGGTGCAGTGGTGTGGATAGTTGCAGCGGCGGTGGCTGTCGGATTATTCGCGCTAGTCGCCGGAACACGGTGCTTCCGATCTCATCACAGCGGTCCGTTTATGAACAACCGCGAGATCGGACCTTGGAAATTGACCGCGTTCCAACGGTTGAATTTTACAGCAGAGGACGTGGTAGAGTGCATGACAGTCTCAAACAAAATCATCGGAATGGGGTCCACAGGAACAGTGTTCAAAGTGGAGATGCCAAGTGGCGACATCATAGCCGTTAAAAAACTTTGGGGCAAGCAAAAGGAGAGCTCTAACTGCATCCGACGGCGGAGAGGGGTTCTTGCTGAAGTGGACGTATTAGGGAACGTGAGACACAGGAACATAGTGAGATTGTTAGCGTGTTGCAGCAACAGGGAGAGCACCATGTTGCTCTATGAGTATATGCCCAATGGGAATTTAGAAGACTTGTTGCATGGCAAGAATGTGGTTGGTGATTGGTTGACAAGATATAAGATTGCATTGGGGGTGGCACAGGGGATTTGTTATCTCCATCATGATTGCAATCCAGTGATCGTGCACCGAGATCTTAAACCGAGTAATATTTTGTTGGATGCTGAGATGGAGGCTAGAGTGGCAGATTTTGGAGTGGCCAAGTTGATTCAGAGTGATGAATCCATGTCTGTTATTGCTGGATCCTATGGCTACATTGCACCTGGTAAGACTTCCACTTCTACATTTCATTCCTTTTTTCAATTAAATTACTTAAAAAATATATTTTTTAATATAAATATGAAAATTTTAAAAAATAATAATAATACTTTCAAATTAAATTTAGACTACTCGAGTGAAAAGAATTATATACCCCTAACGTCTAAGGGATGTGCAAAGAATCCAATGACTTATATATGATGTGCATTACAGTGAATATATAATATAATATAAAAATTCCACAAGAACGCATCTACTAGTGGGGCATGAAAGATATGTGCCTAATGATGAAATGAATGGGCGGTTAGTGTTCATAACTTCAAACTTGATGGCACAAAAATTTTAAAATTGAGAGGAAAGTGGGTTTTGAAAGCAAAAGAATTTCTTTTTGGAGAAATCACTTAAAATATTAAAAAAGAAAGAAAGAAATAGCTAGGTTTCCGAGGAAATGACCTTATGCATTTTTTATACTTTTCAGCATTAGGCACTGACATAGCAAGTTCTTGTTTTGGCATTTGCCTATCTTACTACATAAACATTTTTAAAAAATTGGTTTTAGCTACTCTTCTTTTTATCATTTTTACGTAATATGAAAATCCGAATTAACATGTCCAGTTAAACCGGTAAATTATTAAATCAGTGTCTTAATTAATTTAATAAATTGTTATATTTATGATTGACTTGATTATCATTCAACTATAATTTTAACTATTAATTTTTGAATTAGTTCAATCACCAGTACATGGGTGATTTATATTTTAAAGCTGAGCAACTAGTCTTTCACATTGTATACAGTAGCAGCATGATTCATGTTTCTGATGTGAAGACAAAAACGCTAACAGTAGGAGATATCAGTTAAACCCACTCACGCGCACACACAAAAAGCATGTTTTGATGGTGACGAATGTGAACACGCTCAACATAAAACAGATTTAAAATCTCTAGGCGTGACTGCCATTTTAAGGTATTGGGGTGAGTGGTTGGTGCATCTCTATCTCTAGGGCACAGTGACTTTTTACTCATAAACTCATTTTGTTGAGCATGAACAGTTGCATTATTGCGCATGAACTCACACACACAGCCTTTCTTTTTCCCTTCACTTTTCACTTTCACAAAACTTGCTTTTCCCAAGTTCTTCCCAAATTCATAGGGACCCACCAACAATTAACTTTGTCAATTCACGCATCCTCTTTGAAATCATGAGGATGCTGACTTAGTCCATTATAGTAAATGCAACTTTATCTCATTCTAATTTGTATTTGTTTCTTTGTAGAATATGCATACACTCTACAAGTTGATGAGAAGAGTGATATTTACAGCTATGGTGTGGTGTTGTTGGAGATTCTATGTGGAAGAAGATCTGTCAATGCTGAGTTTGGTGAAGGAAATAGTATTGTCGATTGGGTTAAGTCCAAGATCAAAACTAAAAATGGGATTAATGACATATTAGATAAGAATATCGGGGCCGGGTGTGCACCAGTAAGGGACGAGATGATGCAGATGCTCAGGATCGCGCTGCTTTGTACCAGCCGGAATCCGGCGGATCGGCCTTCCATGAGAGATGTTGTGCTGATGCTTCAAGAGGCCAAGCCAAAGAGGAAGATGTTTGATAATATTGTGTTGGGTCAATGCGGTGATAAAGATATTGGCAGTGGGGAAGATGATGATATTGTTTTGCCACAGAAGGCAAAAGTGGAAATTTAGGATGATATCGAAAATGAATTTTTTTTTTTAACATTTTTAATATTGTGAGAGATTAGCATATATAGGAGGAAGAGATTTTTTTTTTATTTACTTTTGACGGAATTTTCAAGTGTTAATGTCTTAGATTAGTTTAGAGTGAGTATATATATAATATTGTTTTATATGACTATAAGTTGATGTTTAAATATTGAAGGACGTGTTAGTGAGAATTGACCTCAAACTGTTCGGGACTATAGCCTAGTAAGCACAAGTTCGTTTTTTAAAAAAAAAAACTAACACGAAAACTAATTTTTCAATACTTAAATTGAAATATATATATATATATATATAGTAATTTTTACGTGATGAAATTAAATAAGAATAAATTTTTAAATATAAAATTAATACTTAATTAATATTTTTTGTGCAGAGTTCAAAACAAGGAACCCGAATTTTTGTGTAGCTATGCTCTATTTTAGAGAAGAGCTGCAACGATCTCATGTTATAAAATTCTCTTTTTCCTCTTTATGCCAATTTTTGTAAATTTGTCTTCGAAGCATCTTGCAATGGGTGGTAGGTGCTGGCAATCAATGTTATAGAAGCGTTGGTTTCGATTAGGAGGTATAATTATCATGTATGATGAAAATTTCTTGCATTCCCAGTCTCATCAAGAAGAAAGTGTTATTTTACAAGATATTAAACATATGCTTTTTTCCTTTTAGTTCAGTGCCGGTGGAACAAATTAGCAAACTCTATACTCCTTTGTTTTCTTCTTCTTTCTTTTCCTTAATTACCTTTGCTAACTTATAATTTTTATTGGCTTTAACTGATCATTTGACTTTTTTTAAATGATGTGCGTGTGTAACTCAACTAGTTTTGCTTGTAAGAAGAAGTAAATCTAATATATATACTATATTTGGTGATGTGTGTGTATCTATTATGTGTGTTTGTTAGATTTACTAAATTACTACTTGGTGCATCATTAAATATCTAATGGAGTTGAAGTCCTTTAATCTTGTCAAAAAGTTAAAGCTTTAAGTTGGGACTTCACCTATAAAAGAGTGAGGGTGGCTGACAAACACTTAAAAATAAGATTGCAAGCCAATTATCAAATCAAACAAAGGATTTTTTTTTTTTTTTAGTGGTGGTAGCACAAGGATTTAGAATTTTGTTTGACTCTAATGATCTTATAGAAATTAAAAGAGCTAGATCAAGTCAGGTCCACTAGTACAAAAAAAAAAGGCTTTTTTTTTTAAAAAAATTTACAAGGTACATTTTACACTTGCTAAAAGGCAAACCGTGTAGAAAATGGATCCATCACATTTTTTTTAAATTAAGTTGTACGTCTATGTTTTCTAACGGGTTCTATCTACCCGATTGCCACTAAAATTGGTGTAGAAAATATAAAAATTTTAAAAATAACTTTGTGGAAAGTCATATAAAAACACTTGGGTGCAATATATATACTTTTTCCGTTCAAAAATATAAGATATTTTTTGAAAAGTTTGATATTCAAAAATATAAAATATTTTTAATTTTTTGAGGTATAATTATTGTCTTTTTTTCAAAAGTGCCCTTATTGATAATGACTTTATATTTATTGTAGGGTATTTAATAAGGATAATTATGAAAAGATAGGGTTAATTAAAAAATAGGTAACTATTTTATTGGGAGTAAGATTCAATTAAAAATACCTTATATAATTGAGTCTATGTCATTTTTTGGAAAGATAATTTGATCAGGTACCTAATATAAAAATAATTACAATGTAAGAAAGCCAGCAGCTTTTTTTTTTTGGGGTTAAATTTGCAAGAGATGCCACCATTTATGTACCTTGAAATTTGAATTATTGGGAAGAAATTTTTATAAAACTTATGGAGCTCACAATTTAATTATTGGTCATCTTGTGGGCATTTCTTTTTTTTTTTTGGAAAAATTAGAGAGAGGGATCTAATATTGTTAAAATTTATTATAAAGGATCTCAAAAATTAAAATTAGGAGGAAGGATTAAGGAAACACACACAAAAACAAAAATTAGTATGAAACTTTATTAAATCAATATAATTAATGTAAAAATTTCTTTAATTCTAAATAATTGAATCAATATAATTTTAGAATATTTGATTTTAAAAAAATTAAATCAATATAATTTAGAAAATATTTAATTTCAAAAAATTATTACATTTTGCCAAAAACAACCTGTCTCAATTTTTGGACTTACGAATTTTCAAGAAAGATGAGATCATTAGCTTGTTGTAGGTTTCTTGGCATTATTAATTTATTAGTTCAGCTTACAATTTTTTATCTTATTGTTTTTAAAAATATAGCTTTTTCTCATTCAAATACAAAGTGTGAGATGTGATTATAAAAAATTTAGAAAATTTAATTAGGGACAATTTAGTGTTTTTAAATTTATATTTTAGCATTTGTTTCTTCTAAATAATTAATATTTTTAAGATATCCTCAAATAAATATTATTTTCTCCAGGTCCTTCTTTGTAATTTTCCCTCTCTTTTTTACTCAAATCTATATTTGGAACCTCAACCTCAAGACCCACGGTTCACAAAATACCATAATTTATAAATAGGGTGTGTGTAACTCTACTACATTCCATGGTGTAACAAGTAGTAAAGCTAATACACACGCACACTAGATTTGATGATGCGTTTGAATCTTATATATATATATATATATATATATATAAAAGGTTTACAACGACTCGGTGCATCATCAAAATTAGTTGAGTTGAGCTACTTTAATCTTGTCCAAAAGTTAAAGCCCTAAGTTTGGATCTCTAGTCTTTAGCCACAAAAAAGTGAAGATTGCTAAGGTAACACATGACAAAGAGAGGGAAGATATGTTTTTTTAATTTGTTTTTAATGCATCTTTATTGTATGATACTAAAATAACTTCTTTTTTGTTTTTGTGAGAGCAAGCTTTAGTTCATAGATATTTTAAATTTAAAGCAACAATTACTTACTCAACTAGATTTGGTGATGTAAGAAATAGAAAATCTAGTGCACACACTAGATTATTTGATGATGTGTGCAGATATAATAGGTAACTCAACTAGCTGGCCAAAAAATAAAATAACTAAACTAGATTTGATGCCATGTAACGTAACAAGTAAGTCGATCTGTTTTATATATATATATATATATATATTCTTTCTATTTAAAAATAAAAGGTATTTTTAGTGTAATTAATATGCCTTTTTTCAAAAGAACCCCAAATAAATAAATCACTTTATATATTTTAAAGTAAAATACTCTATTAAATAGAGTTAAAATGCCTTACATTTTTTAACGAAAGGGGTATAAAATTTTAAGATGTGTACTAATGAGTGCGTAGCTCAATTGGTAAGAAACTGTACTAACTTAATCAATAGTCTCGAGTTCAAGTCTTGGATATACAGCTATGTTAAATATTCATTAGAAAAGCTTTATAGCTAACATGGTCCTACTTGGCTCAACCCATAATGGGTAATTGTATTAAAAAAATGATTTCATGATGTGTGTTTCTATATTTTACACACACACTTTTATGGGAAAATTCTTGCATGGATCTAATATACCACATTATTCATGTTCTATTCAATAAAAAATATTACATTCATATGACATTAAATATAAATTAATTTAGTTATTAATGATAATAAAGAGAAAAAATATTAAATATTAAATAGGCATTTTATTAGAAAAAATAAAGTTATTAATAAAAATAATGAAAAATAAAATTTTATCTAATTGGATTTACGTAATCTTAGTGGATGAAATATGAATGATATGATGTACCAAATCTTTTATGTAAATACTATATGCATTAGATTTACTACTTACATCATCAAATCTAGTTGAGTCTGCCAACTCGAGAAAGGGAATGTTTGCCATTTCATTATCTGGTGGGAAAATATATTTTATTTTTGGGCTTGAGAAGCAAAAGGTTATTTTAAAATATACCTTTATTAATTATTATATTGTACTATGCAGGTGATTGGACAGTTCTTATCTGATATTATATTGATAATTAAAATATTACACATTAATAAATAATACTTTTTTCATTTAAAAATATAAATTATTTTTTGAGAAATTTGATGTTAAAAAAATAGAAGACATTTTTAATTTTTTGAAGTGTAATTACTACCTTTTTTAAAAGTGCCCTGATAATGACTTTATATTTATTATAGGATATTTAATAGGATAAATATAAAAAGATAAAGTTAGTTTGAAAGTAAGTAACTATTTTATTAAAGGGTGAGATTCGATTAAAAATGTTTTCTATTATTGAATGACTTTTGATTTCATGATCCATACTTTTTTTTTGTTTTTTTTTTATGAAATATGTGCCATCCCTGTTCAAATGGCAAAACATTTCTACCCATATTTCACATACTAGTAAAACTAGTGATTTCTTTATTTTTATAAAAAAATGACATGTCTTTTTTTCCTCAACTCTTTATTATGAAGAGTGAAAAGAAGTGTTTATTTCAATTATATTTTTCATGCCCACATTAATTAATATAAGGATAAATTTTTAAAAAAATACTAATAAACATCTTACATTTTGAATTGAGCTTAGTTTGGAAAAAAAATACATTATAATTTAGACCAATGGGAGTAAGTATTATTTTAAGGGTTACCAATAAATAATGAAACATTAGCAGAGTTCAGTTAATAATGTGAGAATTTAATAAATAAATTGATATAAGTCTTGTAAATTAATTTAAATGATCCATAACTAGAAAAACAGAAAAAGTGGAAGTATAAGAAAAATATTTTTCGCTAGATAAAGAAAAACGATTAACAGATACATTGATCTCCCTAGTCAGTGTTCCGCTTTTTTTTCTTTTTATTGTATGCAATTTTTTTTTTTAATTTGAGTCAATCCTACTTAAGATAAGTCAGACATGTCGGCACCTCTCTTGATAGAGATCAGCTTCGTATTTGCTTGAATAAGAAGCGCCACCATGCTTTTCTCGTTTTCCTAACAAAAACAAGAAAAATATACGATTGCGAGACTATTTAATTTTATTGTAACATTTAGCAAATATTATGGTGAGGAAAAACAGCATAATAATGTGTGTGTGTGTATAAAGAAAATACTCAAATACTTAAAATTGTCGTTTTTAATTAAATTAAGAAATGAAAATTTTTTATATATTATTTATTGAAAAAATTAATCTTTTAGTCCTTTAATTTTTAAGTCATTTATAACTCAGTCCCTCAACTATGACTCAGTTCCTCAACTATAACTTATCTATGATTCAGTTCCTCAACTTTTGAATCACTTACAAATTAGTCCGTTAACTTTTGTTAATTTTTTTTTCATGTTAGCTTATATCTCACATCAATGAGCAAGAGGAGGGTATTTTAAAATAATATATGAGCATTTTTTATCCCTCTTATTTAATAAGAATTTTTAAAAAAAAATTAAAAAATAAGAATCGAGTTATAGGTGAATCAAAAATTTAGGGACTGAGTCACAATGAGTTATAGTTGAGGGACTAAGTCACAAGTAAGTTAAAAGTTGGGGGATTAAAAGATTAATTTTTCTTATTTATTTTATAATAAATTATTATTATTAATATTATTAACACTTAAAAATTCACTTATTCTAATTTGATTGAAGCAAAATATATTAAGTATATAGCGTTAAGGATCTAAGTCTTGCCTTATATCTAATTATATCCAAGTTGAACCTTTCTTTTCAAATTGATCCTGAGGTTCTCTAATTAGACTTACACCTAAATTTTTTCATATTCAATTAAAAACTTAAAATAACAATAGGAAACCAAAATTAAAAAAACTCATGAATGTTACTTACTGAGTAATTTTCTCTTTCAGAATATGATGTTTTCCATGCGTAATTATTAAAAGTTTGTATAGAAAATACATATTAATTAATTAAATTAAAGTAAATTCAATAAAATTTTAATGTCTCCTCTTCTTTAAAAAAGAAAAGTTCCAATGCTTACCACTGAAGTAGAAATTATGTGTATAATTCTCAAAAGTTCCTGAAAGTACTCCTCTTGTTGTTTTGATATGGTGTTGAGTTCTGTTACTTGATATAGAATTCTCTCAACCTGCCACAATAATATCATTAATTAATTAATAAAGCTCTAATCTAATAATAATAGTAATCAAATTATAATTCTAGTCAATTTATTATAATAAGATTAGATATATTAATGACATAAGTTCACTATAAAATTATATCCACTTTATTTTCTCAAATTTAGCAGGTCGGGCTGTATAAAAATTATAGTATTCAAATTTGAACATTGTTGGAGATTCTAGTGAAGTGAATTAAAAAATAATATATAAGTAAGTTATAAAACTTTAATAAAGAGAATATATATATATATATATATTAAAAGAGTAACTGAGTAAGGAAAATTAATTAAATTTTTTTAACTCTGCTCTAATTTTTTAAATTGAACTCATTGGAATCTTCCGTTTTCTCTCCTTCATTTCCCCACCAACCAAACACTATATATGTTGCATGTCAAATGCTAATATATTTGGCTCTCTTGTTATATAATCCATATATGAAAGAATATATTTTTAATACTTCACAATTTTCAAGTTCAAACGTTTTAATTTTTTCGATAATTCAGCTAACTCACTCTAAAATTCAAAATCCAAGTAATCAAGCTACATATGTATATTTTAAAAAAATTATATATTATGAATAATTGAGTATCAAATCAATTAAGGATAGTTGATATCAAAATAATAGTAAAGGGGAAAAAACCTGAGATTGATATCTTGTTATGAGTGGATCAATGCTCTCCATTATTTCCAAGGCCGCTTTCATGGCTTGATGGAGAGAGTCCACGTCTACCTGAAAAAAGAATGCATAAGGAATAATATGAATTACAAAAGATGACACACACACACACACATATAATGGCATTAAAAAATAAAAAATAATTTTAAAAATGCGCAATAATTTTATACTTTTATTTCCTCGAAATAGAAAAATATATATTTTTGACCAACCGAACAAAACATTATATATAGAACAGGACTTTTTCTTGTGTTTTTTTAATTAGCCAACGTTAAATATAATTTTTAAATCAGAAAGCAAGATACAATTATACAAAGCAAACAATTAGACCATAGAAATTGAAAAAAAAAAACAAAAAAAAAACAGACCATTGAAGTAAAATCAGGCCCAATGCCAAGCATTTTTTTGGGATAATACTCACTCCATGCAGTCTTGACCCATAGAACAAGAGAAGGAAACTTTCATAAGACATGGTCATTTATTTTTTTGGATGAAGGACATGGTCAAATAAATTTTGATGAGTGTTGTCAGAATTAGGCTAGACTGAAGGGATTTTGGTTTTTCTCCACTGAACCTCCACTATAAATTTAAACTATTTATATTAAATTTTAACGATATATAGATCAAATTTCAATTATAAAATTCAATTTAACGATATATATCTGCATTGTTTCCTCCGTTGCAGTGGAGGGAAGCTAACACTGGAACTGAACCAGGAATTGGCTACATGTTCAATCCAGAACACCCCCAAAATTGGTTAGAAAGTGAATCAATCAAAAGTGGTAAGAATTGGTGGAAAACTGGTCTTGATTATTTTCCTAAAATAATTTAATAACCCAAAACTATATTATTTTATTTTTTATTTATCTTTTGGTTTCTTTTTTCGCAAGTGTCGTATATATTTTTATGTCCCATTGGTTGTTGTGGTTAATCATGGAAGTTTATGTTGGTTTGATAGTTAATATGATATTTCTGGCAAAAAAAAAAGATAGTTAATATGATATATTTGATTATTTTTCATGATTTGGGTGATTTTTAATAAATAATAAACACTTTTATTCGATCAATTATGAAGTAAACAAGTATGACAGGGATATAAATAAATATTATTTAAGATATTTTTTATTGCTATACAAATTCTTTAAATTATTTTATTTTATTAATTTAATTAAAAACAATCTGACCACAACTTAACAGTTTAATCACAGTCCAAAAATTGAATATTAAAGCGGTATACGTTGCTGATTCAATGCCTAGTTTGGTTTTAAAAGCATTGTTGATTATAAATTTTTTTCTATTTTTAAATAACACATAGATTTCATTCAAGGGGGTCACATTTTTGTGAAAAAATAATACACTTTAGATCAATTTCAAATTCTTTGCATGATTTTTTCTTAAATATATGTATTTAATTAATTTAATAAAAACAGTGCAAGATTTAGGCAAATTCAACACCATCATGAGATAAACATGAAAAAATAATTAAAAAATTAATAAAACCATTAACCATATCAATACCAATCTATCTAGAACATATGTTTCATTTTATTTGACTTTGTTATTAAGTTTTACTATTTGTTAATATAATTTCTCTTTTATTAAAAAAATCAGTCCAGAATATAAAATTTATAATAAATTTAAGAAACGGAAAAAAAGGGTGCAAAAGAGAAGTTTACCTTAATATCAAGAAAAGGCAAACAAATGGACAGAGCTGATAATTTTCTGATCAATCTATTGATATGTTGCTCATATTTTGTCTCCATTTTTTCCCATTCATTCAGGAGACACACTTGTGGATTCACCAGTTGATGTATTTTCATGCCATGCTTCACCTTTTGCCTTTCCATTTTCTTTTCTAATATTCTCTTTCTCAGCATCAGGATCCTCAAGCATACATTAAACAGATTCATCTGATCAATCACAAAGGACAGGTGTAAGAAAATCGCCTTCCTAATTAATTATATATAAATTTTAAGAAGCAAACCTTTGAAGTTGAAATCATGTGAATTCTGGTAAATTTTTTCTTTTTTAATATTTTTTTCATTTTATTATTTTTTACAAAATATAAAGTATGATCTATTTCTTTTTTTTAAATGACAAATTTCATAGAAATTCACATATTCTAAATTTCAGAAGATCCATTCCTAAAATTTATAACAAGCAATAATATTTTCATATTTTTATAAAAAATTAAGGGTCATTTTTGTCTTTGAACTGTACATGAAAGGTTACAAATGGCCCCTAAACTTAAGTATGAATTAATTTTATTTTTTAACTTTAAAAATTTTCTCTGTTATCACCTTGCTATTTTCTCACCATTAGAGGCTTCAATTATATTTTTTAATACTTTTATTATAAAATATTTGAGTTAAGGAGCAAAAATGACTCTTAACCTAATAAAAATATTAAAAAAATAGTGAGATCCATTAATGACTAACAAATGCTAAGTGTTTTTAATTTCAAGATAATTACAAATGAAATTTTTAAAGTTAAGAAATAAAATTTACTTATAGTTAAATTTAAGAGCATTTATTGTGATATTTCGTGCACAATTTAGGAAAAAAAAAAGACCCTTAACCCTTTCATAAATCATATTAGTGTATTTATTTATGTGGAATGGAGAGGCTGCCTATATATTTAATTGTCATACATCAAAATATCTATACTGTGTGTCCTTATGTAAATTTTTTAAATTATTCTAGCCTAGCTATAGTTATGTTTTATCATAAATGACTGTACCGAAAGATTTGCATAATTGATAATAAAGATTTAAGTTTAATGATCAGAATCATTTCTAAATGAGATAAGCTAGTCAAACATGTAGACTTCATATTATATTGAAGAAAAAAAATTAAATGATTAACTAAATTCCAATAAGTATTTCACATAAAAAAAACTAACATCAATATTTTTTTTAATGTCAAGAATATTCTTCAAAGTTTTATATTCTAGACAGAGAGAGAGAGAGAGAGTGTGCGCGTGTTTTTTAATGAGTTTTATTTAATCTTTTATCTCCGCAGACTTTCTCTACAAAGATCTTCTTCTTTATTTTTCCATCGGTATTATTGCAACGAATAAAGAAATCAAGCTATAGATGAGTTAATGATAAAAAAAAAAAAAAACTCAACGCCTGTACACGTTGATAATTGATAATATAAATATTCTAAATTATAATTCAGCAGAAGTAATGAACAAGAAGGGGGGGAAAATGAAAGATGCCAATTCTGATGGGATCACTCAGGCCAAAGTCAATTTAAAAGATCGATTTTGTTTACACCAAAAAAAAAAAGACATGTTTTGTATGAATTTAATTAATGGGTTAGTTATCCATGTTACATAATTTTTAGGGAACATTATGTTTAGACCCTAAGGAAAAAAATTATTTATCGTAAAATTTAAAAACTATATTAGATCTATTAGGATTTGAGTGTAATTTAAAATTAGAGTATAAAGATAATAATATATCCTTATTAAAAATACATTATATCAATTAAGTAATTTACAATTATTTTAACAGTAAATTATAACTATTACTTTAACTTTTTATAACTATAATTTTACGTATCTAATGATTAAATTAATCATATATTATAAGTTTAATACTAGTTATATACATATATCTTATCAGCAATTTAAAATTATTACTTCAACATTTTATACATATAACTTAACATATCTAATAGTTAAACAAATCATGCGTTACTAACAAAAGTTAATACTAATTATTTATAACTATCTCGTTAATAATTTATAATTATCACTTTAATATTTTATAATTATAATTTCACATATTTAATATAGTTATAAATCAATTATGTGCTATTAACAAAGTTTATTAGTAATTAATATAACTATAATTTTAACTTTTTACAACTGTAATTTCACATATTCAATAAGTAAGGGCAATATTATCTTATACTTGCATATCAACTTCAAATTATATTCAGGTCTAAAGGGACATGGTTGTGGTTTATAAATTTTGCAAGACTTATTTATAAATAATTTTATTTCACAGGATCTATATATAATTTTTTCTAATTTTTAATAGAAAACCTAACATGTTATATTTGTTACAATTACGATAAGGAGAAAATATTACTTTTTAGTCTCTCAATTTTCCTTAATTACTAAATTTTGACTTGAAAGTTGGAACAACTTAATTTTTTTATTTTTTTTTTTAATAAAAATATTTTTTATTTTTACTCCGTATAAGTTAATCTATAATTCCTTAATTCAAAAAGCTACGTACAAGAGGTGTATTAAAGTTCATGGAGTAAATCAATAATTAACAAAAGATTATAGACTAAAAGTTAGATTATTTCCATTATAACCTTCTTAATTAACTCATAAGTTAACAAAGTAAATATTTACTGACATACAGAAACTGAACCAGTTTAGCTTCTTTTTAAAAAATAAAAAATAAAAATAAATTTACCGACCTCTGAAGCCTTCTTTACATTAACCATGGCAGCCTCGCCTCTTGCGTTCACAAACCTCCACTGCAACAATCTATTATGCAATATCCTAAACCTGTGATGCTCATCTTCTTGTACCGACGACACTTTCTTTTGCCTGAAGTACTTCAAAACCTTGCTCACACCATTTCCGTGACTTTTCATTTTCCCTGGAGCCTCGGACGCCGCCACCGGAGACGCAAGAAACCGCCCCGGCGACAACGCCCATGCTGACGGAGACTTCGCCGTCACCCTCTTCGAAGACCCGACACCATCTGATGATCTGTTACTATTATGAGAGATCTCTTGGGACTTTCGAGGCGTGGTGCTTGAAGTGGGATTTTCGTACTCTCTTCATTGTTGAAAGTTCTTGCTTTTGATATCGATTTTGAACGTTTGGTGTTGTTGTTGATGAATCTCTGGCTTGAGCCAAACCTGCGTGAGCTGTTTTCTGGGGTTGTCAAGGACGATGATAAATTGCTCCCGCTTTTGCTCCGGCAAAGCCGTGGTGACGGCGATGTGGATCGCAGCACCGTCCGTGGGGTGCGGCGGCCGGAGATAGCGCCACCATTGTTGTTGTTGTCCTTGTCCATGCCAATTGATAGTGTCTTGTGATTTAGAAATTCCAGTTTGGAGTTTCTGCACAATATAATGGTAATGTTGTATATACGTATATAATATACAGAGACAGATTATCACGATCGAGTGAGAATGTTGAAAGCACGTAGTGCGATGGGATGTTGAAAACATGCCTTCACGTCATCGATTTGGAATGTAGTGTTGTTTCCTATTGGTATAAGGGTTGACTTTGTAACGTTCAACTGTTGATTTTTTTTTTTTTTGGGGGGGCTTTTGAACGGATACAATTATAAGCTGGCTGTAGAGAATACCTTCTGTTTGGTTCAATCTCATTGAAGCCCTGCAATGATAATCTTTATTCTATTACTACAGATGGATTATTTGGTTAGACTTATCATGATAAACATGATTGTAATGGTAATACCTTTTGTACACCAAGATGATAATCTTTATTCTATTACAGCCGCGATTAATGGCAATATACCACCACATACCAAGATGATGGTGTTATATTACTAGTGAATCAAGTCTTTGCTGGCTCAGTATAGGGTGGTGGTTGTTCAACAAATATCGAGAGATGCAAATGAAGTTGTTGATATTCTTGCTAAGCAGCTTCTTTCTTGTATTGTTGGATATCATCCTTTTTATTCCTCCCTTTAAACTTGTTATGCATCATTTGGTATAGAGAAATGTTTTTAATAGAGGTGGAAGTAGAAATAGAAATAAAAGTGAAAGTGTATTTAAAAATATGTTTAACATGTAGCTAGAAGTGAAATAAAAATTTTATTTAATAAATATATTTATATTTTAAAAGACTAAAATAACCCTGAAATTAGGGGAAAAAGTCTCAATCATCTCCCTCATCTCCCCAACTGCACCTGCCATGAACTCTATGGAAAGTCACTAATGTAACATCCTAAATTTTGATGCTAGAAGTTCAAGAATATGCTATAATTTAGCAAGTTACTTAGTCTAATTTATTAGGAGTCCTTAAAGTACCTTGAAAAGGTAGAATGACTCTCAAGGACCAAATAATAATTTGAGAGACATTTTTGTAACAAAGTGTAATATTTTTAGAAGCTTAAGGAAGCGTTTGTAATTAAGGAATGAGCAAGTTAAAGTTTAAAAAGTAATGATAGGCTAAAAGGAATAAATAAAGCCTAGGAAGGTAAAATATATCTAATATCAATTTTGAAAAATAATTAGTAAAGTTGCTAGATTATATGAGTAAGAATAAGATCATATCTAAGATTAAATAGTAATTATTAAAAGGCAAGGATATTTGTGGTTAGTGGGATGCAATTAGCAATGCTTAAATTAAATAAAAGATTAGATATTAAACTCTCATTGGATCCTAAGATGACCAACTTTGACTGAGCAAGTTTGAGGGTTAGTCTTACTTCTTATTCGTTACTATTTCCAAGATAGTATCACTTGAAACGTTACCTGTTTGCTTCACTTCTACTATTCTAATGGTTATATTATGCAATAGCTTACCTTAAGGTCCTTATTCCCCTCATATTTGGCCCTAAGTGCCTTATTTTTCTCTAAACACGACCTCTTAAGGTTTAAAGATATGATGAAAATATGGCTTGATTCACAATTGTTGAAACTCATGATACTCTTCTCAATTGTTACACATGTAAAGAGAAATCTATACTTTTTTTTTGCAAAATGCCTCATAAGGCATCATCTAATGTTGGAATAGCCACTGCTGCTACAAGAAAATTTGGTTAACATAGAGGGAGGTATTATCCTAACTATTTGTCAATCATATTCATACCTTTGGCATATCTTCCAAAATTCGAACAATTCGCTTGATCTATCTATACATTAGGTAATAATTGGTACTCAACCTTAAGGGCGTATTTGGTTGAGGTCCCTCCCTTCCAAACCTCCCCCCCCAAATTGGGGGGAGCCCCCCTCCCCTCCTCTTTCCTTCAACCAAACAAACCCTAACCGTGTCCTTATAGCCTACTACAATGACCCCCAAGAATTCCAATTTAATCTTAGGTCTCAACCTGTCACAACCTAGACGGTACCTTACATAGGCCTTACCATCTCATTCTCACACAATCTACTAGTTTCCTCAAATGGATATTGGCCTTATTTGACAATAAATGGTTAATCTCATGAGTTGATTGATGATAACCCAAATAGTATTCTAGCTTGCAGCCATATGAAGTAATCCATTATGAATTTCATGGTGGTATAGTCCCACTTTCGCTTTAGGACACCCTAATGATTGTTGAGCGGTTCTTATAGTGTTAAGTCAAGCATCACGTAACATACTTTGTCCTATCCTCTTTTATATTTGGTCAAAGTCAACCCTACCTTAAATTGTGACACATAGTCATATTCAGATAATTAGGGTAATCAATCCAATTAGCCTTCTTAAGGGATATTATCCTCAACTAAGGGTATTGGTTACAGACACTCTTTTTGTACCCCTTCGTACATCTTTATTGGTCATTTCAAAGGTTGTGGTCTAACCAGTTTCCTAGTCATTCTTAGATTTTTAACAAATTTTACTCGCAGAACATGGAACAAAAGAGTGAAAGGCAATGAAAGAAGAAAGGCTGTGTGGAATAAATTGGGGAAGAAAGACAATGAGGAAAAAGTAAAAAACAGGGGAGTTGACGGAAAGGGAACATGAAAATGACTAAAAAGCAAAGGCAGTGTAGCAACAATGAAGAGGCAGGCAAGAAAAAAGTCAGTGTAGAAACTACAGCAACCACAAGAAGAAACTACAACAAAGGTAGTGGTAGAAACTATAGCAACTACAGAAATGAACCCGATCAGCAACTAGGATGAAAGTTGAAAGAGAGACGAGAGAAAACTGATCGGCTAGAAAGGAACCAAAGTAAAAAATCTAGGGCAAGAGAGGAAACCTCTCCAGAGCAAGAGATATGAAGCTCTCCCTAGAGGAATCTTATTCTAAACATGAGATTCTCTTCAAATTTATTCAATTAAAGATGTTTACGTTGAATGATCAAGAAAAAGATATTTACTTTAACAATTAAGTTTAATTTCTTAAATATAAATTATAATTACAAATTTCAATTTTAATATTTTATAATTATTTTAGTATAAATATTTTTCATTGGGTACGGATGAATTTAGACGATCGAGTTCTCTTTCGGCCCCCTCCCTTGACTGGGGACAAATCGTCTTAAGGACTTCTCTGTCAGTGGCACATTGTAAATATCCTTTTCCCGCCATTTCTCAGCTTCGTACCTCGCCTATCGCCATTCGGCTTCTACTTCATCCACGAAAGGCAGGAATCTAGCAGTTGATCTTTCGTTTGGGTTTCGGACGGAGCGTTGATCGGCCATGACTGATTCATGGGTTCCTTCAGGGCAAAGCCCTCACTTTCATCACCCAACCGCTGGCATCATCAAGAGGGTTCGATTGGAGAACTTCATGTGTCATAGCAGCCTCGAGATTGAGCTTGGAGAGTGGGTCAATTTCATTACTGGTCAAAATGGAAGTTAGTCCTTCTTTCTCTGTTTTTCCCTCCCCACGTCGTTGGAATTCGGGTTTGGGATTTTCTCTGGCTGAACGTTTGTTCTTTTAATTTCTTGGGTTATGCTGTTTTCTTGGGATGAATGATGAATTGGCATTAGAGGAAATGGTTTGTCCATGAAAAATGTCTTTTTCCCCTGGAAGAGTGCAGTAAAATGGTTTGGGCTTGATTCGGAGCTGGTTTTCAACATTTTTTAATTTTCATTCAGGACATTGGGTTTAACAATTTTTTTTTTTGGGTCGTTGAGAGAAAAGAAAAAAGGGTAGAATTCATTTTAATGAATCCGTGTCCTTTTGTTTGGTTAATTACAGGTGGCAAGAGCGCAATCCTAACTGCATTGTGTGTTGCATTTGGATGTCGAGCAAGAGGGACTCAGAGAGCAGCGACTCTGAAGGATTTTATAAAAACTGGCTGCAGGTTTTTACATACTTATTCTTTTTTAAATTTTTAACGAGGTTTGAAGGGAAAAGTTGGGGTGGGGTCATGGGTGGCCGTGAATTGCGGGGGGTTTCCTTACTTATTATGGGCGTTGCATTCATATCTTCTTAAGTTGAGGTCTTTGCCACATCAGGTTTGGTTGCTGGGTATCCTTAGACTATGCCGTACCTATATAATATACATAACAGATTCACCTGACAATTCTAATGCAAAACTTTTCATAAGCTTCTATCAAGCTCTACATCTTCCTCACTGTCTTTCTTCAAGAAAAAAGTGTCTTTTTTAATTGATGATGAGCGAAAAGGATGGGAGGTTTGAACTTGAGACATAGACCATTAGAGGGAGTTATTTCACTGAAGTATTGAACCTATAAATTACTGATGCAAGGCTCATTCGCCTTTCTGAAGGAAAAGCATTCCCATGTTTTTGAAGTTAATTTGTGGTAAAGGGTCTGTTTAAGATGTTAATAAAATGACATATGGAAAAGTCAGAACAAACATATTGGATTATAAGCATTTGTATCATATTTGATCCAACCATGAGACGCGCACAAATATATGATATTTTGCTTATCAAACTCGAAAAATTGCATTACTTTCAATTATATTATGCTCTTTATGTCTTCATCCCAGTTTTATTCCTTTACTCATTCAAAACTGCATGGTTGATTTCTTTGGGTTCTGACTACAGTTTGATATTGCCTCTTGGCAGTTATGCTGTTATCCATGTGGAAATGAAAAATGAAGGGGAAGATGCTTTTAAGCCACAAATATATGGTGATATGATCACCTTAGAACGTAGGATATCTGAATCCACGAGCTCCATTGTGTTAAAAGACTACAAAGGTTTGTTTGTAGTTCTAATGATTTTAAATGTCAAGTTACTTCACTTGTGTGTATATATATATATATGTGATGCTATTGCTTTGTGGGGCTACTCTTGATATATTGTGAAAATCTTTGTTTTAATTCTTTGGTTTTGAGTACTTTACTTTGTTATTTGCTTTATGATGAACTTTTAGATTTGGAATGGAAGTAAGAGTCCAACGCATTGGTTTTTCCCCTGGTGCTTATGGCCTTGTGCGATTAAGGTGCTTAGATGAGGCGCCTTGCTTTATTTACTTGTTTGGATTTCACTTGGTTACAATTTCAATAATTAGGACAATGCAAACCAAATGACTATTGGAATCTTGAGAATCAAAATCAACCACACATATTGCTGAAGAAAGCGCTTGTATGGCATTGTTATCAATCACAAGTCATTTTTTCCTAATAATATTAATTTTTCTGTTGAGAAATGCTGAACAAGTATAGGCTTTAACTTTAGATGAGATATATTTTATGGCGAGAGATGAAGTAATTGGCTAGACAAATATCAAATATTATCAGAAATAATAAAAGGTATTATAGCTAAGATTTGAAGAAATAACAGGAGGTTGTTTACATAAAGCAAATTATCCTGCTTATAAGAGGTATTATAGCAAGAGTTTGTCTAAATTTTAATCAAAAATTGCTTGAAAAAGAATTTGGGTTCTTTCAGGGTTGCATGTTCGTTATCTTGATTTATGTTTGGTATTAATACGAGAGAAAAGAAACTAATAAGTTCTGTTAGTAGCATAAGAAGAGGATGGAAATTGAACTGAGAATGGATCTCAGTCTTTGATGAAATTACCTCACAGATAGCTTTGGAATGTCTGCCATGAAAGACTTTCTGCCTACTAAAATGTGCCAATGTGTCAAAGTTATGAGTCCATTCTACATTATTTTTTACAAGTGTTTCTATTGTTATTTTTGCTCAAGTAAGGTGGAGTGATCCCTTATTTCTCTTACAATAATTACAAGCCTATTTGCTCACTGAGGAGAAATAAAATTGCTTAAAAGACCTGTTACTTTTACTTTAGAAATTGCCATAGTGAGCCTTATTCCCCTGTAAAATCGTGAGCCTGCTTAATTTGATGATTTCTTTTTTATCATTCTCTCTCTTCAAAAATTATAAACCAAACTTGTGATATAGCTTTTTTTCCCCATTGTTTATGAACTAATCACTGATTTAATTTTGCGTGTATTTTAGTTTTTTTAATTGTATATTTATTTGTTTGTGAACTTAAACAAGTCTCTTTGATCTGCAGATACTGCATTCATTTTTATGTTCTATGTTAACAGGAAAGAAGGTTGCCAGTCGGAAAGCAGAACTCCAGGAAATGGTTGAGCATTTTAATGTAGGGTTCTCTCATCCTCTATAATGCTTATAATGGGTTGTAAATGAATAATTACTTTATAAAGGATGTAAATGTCTTCATGTGGGAATAATGTCAATAATCTAGTTGTTGGCAATCTGAAAGCCCTAAACTTGGGCCCATTTGTTTATGATTGCTTAATGTCCTTTCATAGTTTTTAGATTTTATTAGAATAATCTTGAGTTTATTTGTTATTGACTTCTTATTTGATTCTTGGACTAGCTGGCTTGTTGCTATTTTGTCTCCTTTGTCATGTAATCCAATATTGGGTTTCTTCATTAGTGTAGGGCCTTTGTTATAATGACAACCACTTAATGTTAGGATCAAACATGGTGAAAGTCAACTATCCTGTGTTCAAGTTTCTCCTTTATTAAGTTTCCGTCCAGCTGTACATGCTATGTCCAATCATGATGAATTGGATTCCTCAGATTGTTGATGGTAGCCATATTGTCATATTCTACTTCCATAGAACCCTATAAAATTGGTTCCCTGATTAACTATCATGTCTTTGAGTTTTCCAAGCCAAACCAAGCCATTCTCTCTAAATGCAAATGGATAGAAGTTTAAGGTTGTCTCTAACCCTTGCATTTCTAGCTTGAGATGTTTACAGTTATGATTATTGTATCTTGGAAACCCATCACCAACCACTATTCTATATATCTTAGTGGTGGTTTGCAACTGAAGCTTGTCTATCAAATGTACAGAAATGAAGTTATGTGTGGCATTGCTATCTATAAGCACTGCCAGCCACCTCTTCAGCTTTCAACTTTACTATAATCTTCTTTGTTTTATGGTTGCCTAGAGCCACCAAGGATAGGAATACATAGATTGTTCCATGCAAGTTTCAGGCTCCTCAACAGCTCCTTCTTCACCGTTCTTTCCCTCTTGTATCTCCTTCCCCATCAATATCCTGGCATTCTCTTCTTCATATATGGTAAGAACTATCATTTGCAATTGCAAATTGATTATTTTCTCCAACAGAAAATGGCTTACAATAGCTGGATTTTAGTTCACTTCACTTGGGGAACAGAGTTGTCTATACTCTTGCTCATTTTCTTCTGTGTTTCCTTTTCCAGCACTCAGTTCCTACCTTCTATTTGAGGTTTTCGTAATGAAGACTGCCTCATCACCTCCTTTGATTGACCCTTGTTCCTACTTCCAGTTTGAAGAGCATGTAGCTTGGCTTGCATCTCCATGATAAAATTTTTGCATAATTGCCATATTTGAGCTCATGCTATCTAGCTTCTCATTCTCTATAGCTTTGAGTACTGCCTCCATTTTGTTGCTATGATTCCCTTCTTCAAGCCTGGTCTGGTATCAAAACTGATGGGAATTTTGGAGCTTTGTATTATTTATGTAAAATTACATTTAGGCCCTGTTTGGTACGTAGACCTCAATTTAGAGGGATTGGTATTGGGATTGAGATTGGATTGGTAATGGGAGTGAGAGTTTAAAATTATGTTTGGTGTGAGGTAATACTTACAGAGAATACTTATTTTTATTTTATTTTACATTAAACGTCAATTATGAAGAGAGTATAATACCCCTTAAAATTTAAAAAAAAAAAGATTTGCATCTGATCCTCCTTCCTGTTCACCTTCTCGACAAGCTACAATGGCAAAGCATAGAATATCATCTTCTCCGACCACACTCCATGCTCCATCACCCCTTTCGCTATGAGTTCCAGAGGCGGGTGGTTGCGAGATCGGAGAAGGAGAAGGCGGTGGGGTTTTGTGAGACCCAGGGGCCAGTGGTTGCGGTGGGGTTTGTAAGACCCAGAGGCCGGTGGCTGCAAGATCAGAGGAGGAGAAGGTGGTGGGATTTGTGAGACCCAGAGGTTGGTGGCTGTGAGATCAGAGGAGGAGAAGGCAGCAGCGGCGTTTGTGAGACCCAAAGGCCAGTGGGTGCGAGATTGGAGAAAAAGGCGAATGCATTGAAGATGAAGGTGGAGATGCGAGATTGGACGTGTATGACGGATCTGAGCAAACTGAAGAAGATGATTGATGCGAGCAAACACAATGATGGAGATCATCTTTTGGAACCAGATTTGGAATCTATCGAACTAAAGACGACGGCAGTGGTGGCAGATCTGCATGGGAGATAGGGTAAGGGCATTTAGGTCTTTACAAAAATCAATCCTAGGTTTGATTTTACAATACTAAGGGTGGTGGTACTGAATATCTCACTTAGGTGGGATTGGGATTGGGGTTAAAATCTTCATTCCCACCTACCAAACACAAAAAGCTTGGGATTAATCTATCCCAATCCTAATACCACTCCCTCATTCCTCCATACCAAACATGACCCTGGATTACTGTCTGAATGAGCACAAGAATCAATTGAAAAAAAAAAAATCTCCTGATAGTTACAGAAAATGGAAATAAAAGGAAAATCAGAAAAGATGTTCTTCTGAGGTTTTTGGGTCCCCCGAACACTTCTCACACAATTTCCTTATCCATACTCCCTCTTGCACAGAATATTTTCCTCACATGTCGTTAGGCCCTGTTGTTATTTTCCTCTTCTGTTCTCAATCATTGAGTGTCCCTTGCATTGGGCTGCCAGCCACTCTCTTCCTTTTATAAATCATCTCAACTTCATTCTGGGCTCACTCTTTTGCCATAGTTTCTCCTCTGTTAAGTATCCATGGGTTGCACAACGATTTTGATTGTTGAATTCTGTCAGCTTTAGGATGCTTGAGTATGCTGAAATCAAGAACAAAAGTGATGGCATGGTTGATGATTGTCTTTTTTCTATTTTTTTTTTTTGATACATTGATGATTGTCTTTCTTTGGAACAATTTTTGCTATTTTTTATTAGGTTGTTAATGGTTTATTTCATTAATAATTAACAATTTTCTTTAATTGGATTTGCTGAGTGAGAACCTTTGTGGTATGTCATGTGATATGCCTTGTGAAAGTATTATTTCTTCCTACTCTGTTCATTGCTGACTAGAGTCTCCAAATATACATTTTAGTTAATATTATTTTCTTTGAGTTTATTTTTATTTTTATTTTTTTGCAGATTGATGTGGAGAATCCGTGTGTAGTTATGAGCCAAGACAAAAGCAGGGAATTTTTGCATTCGGGAAATGATAAGGATAAATTTAAGGTGATGTTTGCATGTCTTCCTCCAGTAAAGTTTGTTAAGGTGATCTACTGATACTAAAAACGAACTCTTACACAGTTCTTTTACAAAGCTACACTTCTTCAGCAAGTTGATGATCTTTTGGAAAGTGTTTCTAAAGGATTAGAGCATTCATTTGGACTTCTTGGAGGATTGGAGGCTACAATAAGGCCTGTAGAGAAGGAGCTTAATGAGTTGAGAGTCAAAATTACAAACATGGAACAAGTTGAACAAATATCACTGCAGATTCAGCAATTAAAGAAAAAACTTGCTTGGTCATGGGTTTATGATGTGGACAAGCAAATCCGGGATCAATATTCAAAGATTGATAAATTAAAGGATCGAATACCTACTTGCCAAGCCAAAATTGATGACCAACTGGTAAGTTTTCCTTAGCTGACATCATATATTCTTAATGCAGCATAAGGAGTTACATATGGTGCAAATTGATGGCTAGAAAGTTTGCTTTCATAAAGCGTGGACAGAATCTGCTTAACCATTCCTGCTTTTACAGCTCTAAAGTACTTCCAGATTTTAGTATAATAAATTTAATTAGAAGGAGAAAGGAAAATCATAGTGAGGGAGATAAAATATTGTCTTAAACGGAAAAAATGCAAGAATTTTTTCCCCCATTCCATAATATTTGCATGGGCATAATACCCTCCTTTAAAATGCTTGCATTGTATTGTCATGAGATGCAGTAGAGAATTAGTAAAACTGTACACCACCACAAAGTTTTAGCCTTTGTTCCTCCCAAAATAAAAAATTTATAATGAAGAATTGCTGCAATGGGCGAACACCAATTATTTACCAAGCATTCCGATCCAAACAGACTATTCTGTAAATTTCAAGTTGTAACATCCTAACAATTAAAATATTTATTGTTTTATGAATATACCTTTTTCATAACTCATATTAGGTTAGCTTTATGAGGTCTGGGAGTTTGCAATAATATATTAATATACATCAATTGAGTATTGATGTAAAAATTCCAAATGAAAATTTGACGCTATAAAATGTTCTACTATGCTGGATATTCAATGCTCTCCATCATTTATTCATTTTCTTTTTGCTGGTTTTTCTTTTCAACCGTGTTATATATTCATGTCACATATTACTTTGTTCTTCTAAGGACTATTTATTCTGCAGCATCGGGTTGAAGAGTTGAGGGCATATTTACATAATAAGAAAGGGCATATCAAAAACTTATTTGAAAAGACATCAGAAGTGAAGCAGAAGAAGCAAAATTTACAACAATCTATATCTATGGTACGTTAGATTTGAGGTGGTTTCCTCCAACCTTTTTAAAACGCATGAATAACAGGAAGATGAAAATTTCATCCTACAGTGAGTCAACTGTATGTTGAAACTAGACGTTTCTGTTTCTATGTGAGCTTAATGTTTTTAAGTTGTCAACTACACATTTTCTTTTTCTGTTTTGGGACTAAGAGGGGCTTAATTACTGCTTACTTTTTTAATGATTTCATTTGAATAAATTATTTTTTTAATCTTTTTTTGCTTAAGAGTTAGTCTGTTGGAAATCATTGAGATGATATGAGATTTCATTTGTCTTATTTTATTAAGTTATGCATTATTTGTTTTATCATTTAAGATATTCCTTTTCTTTTGTTTATTTTTGGGATTTCACATACGATAATGAGTCTAGCCAGATTAGGTATGATTTTAGTGGTAGAATTTTCTGGAATCTTGACTAAAATAAGGTAGGCTTGTTGCCTTACCTATCTATATTTTTTCTAGTTATTGAATGAGTAAATTTAACGCCCCAATGTTTTTGGCTGACTTAATAGAGCCATAATTAAGCTTATTGCTTTCCAAGCCATGACTATTGTGTCTCGTTACTAGCAAGCAACAAAATCAAGGAAGCAATGTGCCACCTTCACTGGAGCCTAATAAGCTATGATCATGTATGATCGTTCGGCATTGTCTTGATGGACAAAACTATCTCTAGTGGCCACAAAGCTTCCTCATGTCTGTTTGAGGAAAATGGAATATTATATTAGTTGGAAAGTATTAGCACTAAGTGTTTATGATCATTCACGATGTCGGTGGTTGAGAACAGCCAATTCATGTCTTGATTGATGAATTTTTTTGTGGGATTTTGAGGGGGAAAATATTATTCTTATTGATTCAAAATTGTGTGTTACAACCGGTATATATACACTGAGAGATAAAAATAATAAATATTAATAACTCCTAATAATCAACTAATAATCCCTAATAATCAAGGTAGAACATTTACAATAAATTCAATATCACCATACTCTTCCTTGAGTTGAATGATAGACGCTAATCATGTCCAACTTGTTTATACAACTTTCAAATGCAGGCTTATGGAGCCCCTTAGTTAGAGCATCCATAGCTTGAAGATTGGTAGGGAAATCAGTCAAGCATATGATTCACTCTTTCACAGTAGAGTTTTAGTGATAAGTCTGCCTTGACATGTATCCCTTCCATTATTCCCTGAGCTAATGCTCTTAATTCAGACTCAATACTGCTCTTAAAGACAATTTTTTGCTTTTGACTCTTTCAAGTAACTAGGTTTCCCCATACTAAGGAACAATAACTAGAGGTTGATCTTCTATCGGGATGAGTTCCTCCCCATTTTGCATCTATATAAACCTCTATGGTTCTCTATTCTTGTTTTTGGAATAATAACCCTCTACCAAGAGCACCTAGGTACCTCAAAATCTTTTAGGCTGCTTCCGTATGCTTCTTCTTTGATTCATTCATGTATTGGCTAGCCACACTCATTTCAAAGGCAATATCTGGTCTTGTATGGAAGGGATAAATTAGCTTCCCGACGAGTCTCTATTTGTCAGCGGCCTCTTCTTTCTCATTATCTTCTTTAACCTTATCGTCAAGATCTTTTTCTTCTTCTTCTGACTCTTCCTTATTCTTCTTAAGGCTTCTTTTTCTTTGGAACCACAATAGGCATTCTAGTAAGCCCACATCCTAACATAACTGTTTCCTCTAGAAGATCAAGTACATGCTTCCTTTGAGATGTACAGATGCCTTTCTTTGACCTTGCGACTTCCATCTCAAGAAAGTATTTTAAGTTACCAAGGTCCTTTACCTCAAATTCTTTTCCCAGAGCAATCTTTATTCTTGTTATTTCCTCGAGATAATCTCTTGTGAGCATAATGTCATCAACATATATATATAATGAGAATGCACCTCTTCCTCCATCAGCTTTAACAAACATTGTATGGTTTGACAATCCCTACCTGTAGCCCTCTAGCTTGAGGAATTTCAAGAGCCTGTCAAACCATGCCTTATGAGACTGCTTTAAGCCATATAGAGATTTCTTCAATCCGTATATTTGATCACTTCTGCCCTTACCAAATTCCAAAAGTAGAGTCATGTATACTTCTTCTCTAAGCTCTCTATTTAGGAAGGCATTCTTGATATCAGGTTAATAGAGCGGCCATTCTAGGTTGGCTGCCACAAATAATAAAACTTTGATGGTGTTTAATTTCGCCACTAGTGCAAAAGTTTCTTTGTAGTCAATACCATATGTCTAAGTGAATCCTGTTGCTACCAAGCGTGCTTTTAACTTGTCAAGAGTACCATCAGCCTAGTACTTAGGGATATAGACCTACTTGCAACTTACAAGCTTCTTGCCACTCGATCTTAGAACAATCTCCCATGTACCATTTTTCTTTAAAGCTTTCATTTCTTCCATGACTGCATTTCTCCATTTTGGTATTTCCAGTGCCTCTTGAATGCTGTTGGGAATTACCACTTTATCCAAATTAGTGACAAATGTTCGGTAATTTGGAGAGAGCCTTGTAGGACATATGCTTCTATATTGGATATAAGGTGCAAGATCAAGGATGTTTTTGGAGAGCAATGGGTAAATCAAGATCAAATTGATCACTTACCTATTTAGAAATTTGCAGAAGTGGTTTAGGAGCTACCATTGGTTTAGACTCTTTTGGTGCTTCAGATACAATGTGCTCGCCTTCCTTGGACTTTTGCTTTTGTAAATAAATCAACGAGTCTTTTTCTTTTTGCTTCCCTTCTCCCCCTTCTTTTAAGTTATCTTTTGTGACCGGCATAAGAGATGGTGGGATTGAGGGTTCTGGTGAGGGTGATGGTTTTGGTAATTGTGATGGTAATGGCTTTGTTGTTGTAAACCAAGGATCAATGAGCACACGTTTGTTGCTAGTTTCTTGTTCCTAAGCCTGAGATTCCCTTATCTAAATTGAAGAATTGGATAGAAAGGTGTGTCTTAATGAAAAGTAACATTAAGGCTTACAAATGTGTGTTTGGAAACAGGATCAAAATATTTGTATCCCTTTTGAGTGGGAGAATAGCTAAGGAAGATGCATTTTGTAGCATAAGGTCAAAGTTTACTTTTTGGATGGATATAAACAAAGGCATTGCACCTAAACACACGAAGAGGAAGGTTGGTTTCAATATGAGATATGGAAAAAATACTTTGCAATTTTTGGAGAGGAGTGTCAAAGGATAAAATACGACTGGACATTCGACTGATGAGGTAGGTTGTAGCTATGATGTCATCACCCCAATAAAACATTGAAACATTGTGGGTGAACATGAGTGCCCCAGCAACTTCAACAATGTGTATATTTTCTTCATACAATCCCATTTTGTTGGAGTGTATGGGCACAAGTACCGTGATTGACAATACCATGTTTGAGTTAAAAGGCATGCGAGATTTGGTTAAAATATTCAGTGCCGTTGTTGGCATGCAAGACTTGGATGGTTATGTTGAACTGGGTTTGTATGATGGTGAAGAAATTGATGAACATTGACGTGGACTTAGACTTGTCTTTTAAGAGATACACCCAACAAACTGTCATGATATATTTTAATTCTCTCACCACACTGTGGCAACATGTGGATTTGTACAAAGTGCATAGTTGGGTATGTGTTGAGGATGCTAGATACTGTTGGGAGATTGTTGAGAATGAGTGAGTTTATAAATTTTGACTGGCTTGAATCTCAAATCCACAGAAGTTAGGAGCAAATTGATGGGTGCTTAGTCTCTGTGAACTCTAAGAGAAGCACTTGCAGTTGTCGAAAGGGAAGAAAGTTGAAAGAGTTTGCTTTCAGATTGGTGAGAATTAGCCATGGCTATTTCAGGGAGTACCTTCGGCTGATAGTAAGCAGAAGAAAGGTGGCCAACCCTGCTGTGACCTTTACAACCCTGATAACAATTAAGGGTGTTGGAAGCTTCAGGTCAACAACCTAAAACAAAAGCACAGGCCTAAATGTGAAGGAAGTCTAGCCACAAATGAAGAGAAGCCTAAACTTGACCTTTACCAGATCAAAGATCAACTTGATGGTTGCAAAAAGTTGATCAATCACCAAGAAAAGACTCAGGTAGCAAGCATGGCTTAGTAAGGTAAAATGTCATTGGTATTTAACACTTAAAATGAATAATAACTTGCAGATTGTAGACCCTAGAACAATTGATCATATGAGGGGCGGTTTCTCAAATTTAGAGAATGTCACACCATGTAGTGAAAAATTGGCTAGTGGATGTCACGAGTGTTGGAACAGTAACATCATCCTTCATTCAATTCTAAATGTCTTTTATGTGCCAAAGCTTGCCTACAACTTTTTATCTGTTCAAAAATTGGCAAAACGAAACAGTTGTGTGGCTAAATTTAAGGCAAATGCTTGCATCACTTTGGGGTGAGATTTGGGAAGATGATTGGAAGATGTGAAGAAATTAAACGTCTATCCTACATTCAAGGATTTGAGTAAAAGAAGGAAGTGATTGCAAAGTTTTCCCTTGATGAAATAAAATTGGTGGCATTTTCATTCTGGGTATCCCAAGTTAGATTATCTTGAATGCATGTACCCCTAAATTTATAATAAAAACGTTTCCAAAATTCAGTGTGAAATTTGTCCCCTTGCTAAACACATTGGAAATTCAGACCCTATCCATAAGTACATGCGTGTGCAACCTTTTTTGTTCATAGTGATATATAGGGTCCCTAAAATGTGCAGAATGTAAATGGGGCGTTGTTGTTTGCAACCTTCAAGGATGGAAATTCCAAATAATCATTCAAATCCAAACAAAAATCAAAATTTTACACTCAGACAACGCAAAAGAATAATTCAGCTCTAGACTTGAAATATACCTTGCCCACCATGGAATAATCCCTCAAGGTTCTTGCTCTTATATCCTACAACAGAATGGAGTCTTTGAAAGAAAAAACTGGCATGTCCTAGAAGTAGCCAAACCCTTCTTACTTACCACAAAGGTCTCTAATTACTTATCGGGGGAAGAAGTATCACCAATCACACATCTTGTTAACAAAACATCAACCAAAGTCCTAAATTACATGATCCTAGTTTCCCTTAAGACATGTTAGAGGCCTATTTAGGCCATCAAGCATTGATCAATTTTCCCTTAACAGTCTTTGGTTGTACATCATTCGTGCACAACTATATATGAGGGGAACTTGATTCTTGAGAGACTGAATGCATCTTTCTCGATCATTTACCCATACCAAGGGATACAAATGCTACAATCCAATCAATCAAATTTTACACCACTTATGGCTTTACATTCTATGAAAACCAACCATTCTTTACCAAAAACACCTGTTCAAGTGGAGCACCAAGACACAATGGCTGTTTTGGTGCAACCCTCAAACTCCACAACAACAACATACTCCCATGCTGATATGCAGTAGTTGTGTATGCACCAAATTAAACTAAGTGGACACCCTAATGTGTATAGGGAGCAACTTAGGTTGAATCCCTTAGTGAGTTGAATTTTAAATTGATTAAGAATAACTATTAAATGTGTTATAAACAGCAAGGGAAATTGGTTTGATTAATTGTTTAAAGAAGCAATTAAAACTTTAACTAATGTTTATGCAATTATGGTTTTAAGAGAAAATGAGTGAACAAATGAAAGTGTGTTTGCAATAATGAATGAAAGTGATCCCTAAGAGTATGATGGTGAAGAAATCCTCATTCAAAAATTAATTTTGTGAAATAAATGCTCTCATTGGCCAAATGTAGTTCAAGACCATCGCAAACATAGCTAACAAAGCCACACACACAATCCTAACCATTAGTAGTCATGTAGTGAATAAAGCTCCCAGTATGTTATTGGTTAATTGATTGACTTATAAAAGTATCTAAAAAATATTTAGCCAAGAATTAATTCCAAATTAACCTCAATTAGAACTTGTGAGGGCATCACAATGTAGCTATGCAATTTCCAATGCCAAGAACATTCAACAATTCAACACAACTATGCATTAAACCATTGAATTCAAAAATTAAGCAACAATTCTGGCAATCAATCGACCCAATAACGAATATCCTCAATCAAAATATCAAAGGCATTTAATCAAACACCTTGAGTGCAACATTACAACTTTACTAATTCAACTATGAAAAGAGAAATTGCAAATAGAAAAATCAAGCTAGAGTCTAGAAATCCTTAGCCATTGAAGTCCATGAACTCAAGCTTCATCCATCTTCTCCTAGGAATCAAGTGCCTCTAGCCATGCATTTTCAGCACCAAACCAGAAAACCTTGAACACGTTCAGCCACGAAAGCTTGAAACAAAGTGTGTGATTTGATGAAAGAAGAAGATGACCAAAATGGATGAGAGGATTTGAATTGGATCTGAAGGAGATGAAGTCAATTGGTTTGAAGTAGAGTTTGGTGGAGGAAATCGTGTAGAGAGAGAATTGGTGGAGAACGATGAGATGCCATAGTTGAAGTGTCTATGAAGTCAAGAATTGATGGAGAGAACAATGAATGAATGAGACCCGTGAGAACCCCTTAATTCTCAAAGTGAATTGTCTTAAATGGAGAGCATGTGCTTCTTCAATTCAAAAGGAAAAGAGGCGGTGGTAATTGAAGAGAAAGTTTACATGAATTAGTGAATTGTCATCCTATTTTTATTTTCTGGAAATTGATTCCAGATCTAGAAAATTAGCTATAGGGTGATAGTTCCAAAACTGATGGAATGGAAAATGAATTGCCATGTGAAAAAAATTAAAAGAGTGGAAAGGAAGTGGAATTGGTGAGAAGATGGAATGAAGTCCAATGGAATCAAGAATGGCATAGGAAAAGTATTAAAAAAAAATGGAGAAGAAAATGACATAAAAAGAAAGAAAAATAAGAGAAAGAGATTTTCCTACTTTATCCTTTTGCTTCTTCTTTTTACCACATGGTCACCTACAATAAAATAATAAAATCAATAGAAAATGTATTTTAAAAATAAAAAATAATATTCAATAAAATCTGGAAAAATATGCAATAAATCTCAAAAAGTTTCTAAAAATATTTCTTTGCCCTTTTACCACAAATATTACCTATTTATTCTAAATTATATCAAAACAAGTGTTAAAAAGCCAAGATAAGAGAGGTAAAAGTGTGTAAAATGTATGAATTATCACATGCCCTAGGCGAAGCCTACAACTCATTCTCAGACTAAAGCAGCACCTGAAAATGTTCTGGAATATCCTGAAAACGCCTTTGCCTGTCCTGAACACCACCTTTGTCCACCATGAAATACTTGAAAAAGAGGAGGAAGCTGAACTGCAGACTGAGACTTTGCAATAGCAGCAACAACACACAGAGGCTGTGCAGTACCAGCAACACAGTGGGGGAAACCTGGCAACTTCACAAGATCCGTGCCAATCATCAACCCTAATGAAAAATGTCATGGATTAATTTTTATCGATCATAGAATATTTTATTATACAAAGTAGAGAAAGAGGTGGATATAAATTGAGAGGGTGGAGGTGGAGCTGGAGTGATATGTAGCACGCCCCACTTAAGTGAGAAACAGGGAAATGAAAGCCTATTTAATCCTAATGTCTATAAAGAATCAAAAGGAAAGAAAATAAAGTAAATTAAATGGAAATGACCATTGCAGAAGATCTGGGCTTTAAGGGAAATGTATATTTGATTTGAGATCAATTGGATCAATCCTGGAAAATCTTCTCATTTTTGACCAACTGATCAATTCTGATACCAATACCTAGGCTCAGATCCATCTATGGATGACTTGTGTTGGCCTATTGCAATAAGTGGAAGGGCAAGATTTTGTAGATGACATCCAATGGTAATTTTATCTATTGAGAAATTATCTCCTTATATGAAATTATTTGCCACAAGCATTTTAGCCAAAAAATTAAGAAAGGATGTTTGCAAAGCTGTGAAAAATCTGGCATCAAAAGTTGTGGTTTATGGTGAAATGGAAGCAATAAGGAAGAGCAAGACTTGGGAGGTGACTAAATCATCTAAGGGAAAGTGAAGTACAGGTTGCACCTAGGTTTTTACCATTAATTTTAATCCAGATGGAAGCATCAATAGGTATAAGGTAAGACTTGTTGCCAAAAGGTTAACTTAAACCCTTAGCATGGACTTTCAAGAGACGCTACTGGCCAAATTCAAGATGATCAAGCTATATTCTCTGGTATCGAATCTTGGTTAGCCACTAGTTTATTTAGTTTGTTGTTAAAAGTGCTTTCTTGAATGGATGCCTAGAATAAGAATTATTAATGGATATTCATCATGGCTTTAATTCAATGTAAACCAGAACAAAGTCTATAGGCTGCATAAAGTTTTGTATGGGCTAGAGCAATCACTAGGAGCCTGGTTTGAGGGTTTCACAAATATTTTAAAGGGAAATGGGTATAGTCAATGCCAAACAAATCAACTATCAGGTATTACACATTTGTGTTGGGCAATTTGGTCATTTGGTGAATCTGGAATCAACCTATGGTGGTGCATAGACATGTGCTGAAGCTGAATTTTGTACTCTAGCCTTAAGAACTGTGAGAAAGGGGCGAATCTGTTTTGCAGGTGGCATGTGACATTCTTGCAGTGGTCAGATTGTTGTTGGACTTGGGTAATATACTGATCAAAGGGTGGTGATCCTTTCTATCAGGGCAGTGATGCTTGGAAGCTGCTGTGAAGATATCCCAAAAACGAATCCTCTCTCACACTCACTGTATCACGTGCAAAAATGTAGAAACGAAGGACAAAGGATAACCAGAATGTTCTTGCTTTGATACCATGTATAAAATATGAATCAAGCGTGTCTCACATTTTGAAGATCAAAATATATACAAGAGGCTGGAGCCTTGGTATTAATGGCTCATAATGACTCAATTACGGTATCCCTATGATTATAATGTGGATTACAATGTCTACATAGTACATAGTAAATCTTCTAATATCCTATAGTGCTGAAGGTCCTATAGAGGTCTTTTTTGACAATGTGACAACAATTAGATAGTGAAGGATCTCATACATCATGATAGATCCAAGCAAGTTGAAATTTTGTCATCATTTCATCAAGGAAAAGCTCGTGTCAGGAAAATAGAGGTGTCCTACACATCTACAATGATCCAAATGGCTGATCGTTTGAATAAAGTTGTACCCTGGGTGAAGTTTGAATAATTGGGTAGCAAGCTAGGGATGATCAACATCTACTCTCCAACTTGAGGGGAAGTGTTATAAATGACCGAGATAATCTCTGAGATTTCATTTCATTTTATCTGTTTTATTTTATTTTATGAATTTACGCATTATTTGTTCTATCAGTTAAATCTTTTATTTCAGATATTATATTAACTCTAGTCAAAGTAGATAAGAGTTTAGTGATAAAATCTCCTAGAATCTTGGCTAGTATGAGACAGGCTCTTTGCCTCACACATATATTATTTCTAATTATTGAATGAATAAATATAACCGCCTGTAATAGCCATTTTTGGCTAATTTCACAATCAAACAAGTGTATTCGGTTGTATCATTTTCTTGTTATGTTTTACATACTCTCCCTTCATTTCATGCTTGTCTTTGACATTTTCATTAAACTGTGATTCATGAATTTTTTGTTAATGTGTTTTTTAGTTTTCTAGTCAATGTCATGCTATTTATTTGCATTATTAGGAATTTTTTATTTGTTTATTGCTCTTGCCTTTTTTTTTTTTTTTTGTGGCTGAAGGCTAGAAAAGAAGTACTTGAAAAAGAACAAGAGTGCAAACGCATAACTGTCAGTATTGAGAAGATGGTAAAGCGTGTTAGGACTCTTGAAGAACAGGTGCAGGATGTTTATGAGAAGCATGCACAAAGTACTCAGGTTATTGCTTCTTATCTTTATCTTCCTGTTTTCTCTCATTCCATCATTTACTCCATTTTCTTGCTTCTGTCTTTTCCTGGTTATTATGATTATTCTTTCATTGATTTTCTCTTGAAAGGTGTTAGTGAGCAGATTTCTTTTTTGGGTTATTGACTTATTGCATGTTAGCTTAGCTTAAGGACTTTGGCCAGCATGCTTTAGCTTTTTAGGTTTGTGGCTTTACTTGGCTTAATCTGAATTAGTCAAGGCCCAAAGCAGCTTTTGAAAACTGGTTGGTATATCCAAATAAAGAAAAAGAATAACATTCAATAAAAACAAAACAAAACAAAAAAAGGATAACAATCATAAAATTGAAGCCATCAAATCCCTCTTAAAGTCAAACTTAGCTTCATAGAAATACACACAAGCCAAAGTGCCAAACGTCAAAGAGAAGACAAGCTACAATCATATGCTGCAGTTGGAAAGTAACAGAATCTGTTCCTTAAAAGTTAAATAAAGGTGCGCGCATGACTTCCAGTGCAATTTTTTTTTTTAACGACTGCATCAGTATACACTTTTACTAGATCATGCCTTCTTTGCTTGTTATGAGCGGAAATGGGTTGGGAGTAGTTAAGCACGAAGGATGAGGCCATTGATGAAGATGGAAGACTGAATTCTGACAATGAAATCTAGAGGTCATCCTAGAATTAGGAAATCACTATTTAATTAATTGATTTCTATTGCACAGAATGTAAATTATTCCAAATTTCTTTGCATTTACTATTCTACCAAAATATTAGTTGAGTACGTATGGTTTGTGGCAACATTTTCAAAATCAGAATGATCATTGAACTAGTAAGAACACTGATTCAAGATTCACTAGTTAGACTGTAGTTGAATTGTGGTTAAATTGGTTGTGACTAAATTAGTATATTTTTAATTATTTTAATATGTTAATATTAAATTAAAATATTATTATATGAGAAATAAAAAATTAATAATGAAGAGAGATTATTTATTACTAACATGAGACTGTGTCAAAGAAAGGAAACTGAAACATTCTCTATCTTGTAGCTATTATTTTCAACCATTTGTTTAATCTGTTGGTTCAACAATATGGGATTGTTTAGTATACGGCTTCAGCAAGGGTCATGGATGAAGCTTGCAATATGGGCCGAAAAACATGATGAAGGTGGAAGGAAAAGGAAGGAGCTTGGCCAAGGAACCAAACAAACTCACTGAGCACAACACCTGGAATAGAGCATTGAAGTGAATGAATCCATCGTCCATGTTGTAGGGAATGAGCTCAACTGACTTTGGACACTGTTCAAGAGCTTTTTTGCTTTCATTTCAAGATTCTGTTGAGCTCCTTTTTTCTTTTCTTTTGTTTTTTCAAATAGAAGTATAATTGACAAAAGAGCAAAAACCCCATTCATAAGCAGTAGAAATAAAGGGTAATTTGGGCAATTCAAAAATAAGTTAAGAAAATAAATCCTTTAGCAGTACCACACTTGGATTTGAAGCCTGAATCACATGCAAAGCTATTGGTCTAACTTGCACTAGTACTTAATTCCATTCTTGTTACATATCCTAAAATATATGTTGAGATGAAATAAGAAGCCAAAATTTCTTGCCTTTTTTCCCCATTCAATATTTGTTGCAAATTTAATTTATTTGTTTATTCATTTATGCATCACCACCCTTAAAATTCTTGGGTTATTTCAATTAGAACCACCCAAAGACATGTATATCCTAGTGGGGTCCCTCAAAGGATAGGCCCATATAATTCTTGTGGTTTTTAAATGGCATAGTTTTTGCTCCCTTACAAGCTAGATTTTTAGGGTGGATTCCCCATGTTTGCTCAAGCCTTTATCAAAATCGATTGATATCTGAGCTGGATTGGCCACAAAAAGCATTGGCTTCCATGAAAACACTGCCTATAGCAGAGGGTGTGACCCTGTGGTCAAAGTGAGTAATGTAGAGTGCAGTTGATTTTTTAGAGGCAATGCTGCGATGAAGTCTCTTATTAGGTAGTCACATGTAATTTTGGTGGTATTTAACTTTGAGTAGCATCATTCTTTCCCTTTACTTGTGGGCTTTTTATTTAGTTGTAGTTTCCCTATGCTTGTTTAGGTCTCCCATCACATATCCTTTACTTTGGGTTTTTTATAAGTGACCATCTCCTTGACCTACAGCGTTTTCCTAAATGATTATTAACCTAATTATGACTGTTTTCTTAACATGCAAAACCTTAAATTTTTTATAGCAGTCAACAGGTTGTTTCATGAATTCAATGGCGTGTATATAATAACAGTGTCAGTAATTCTCTTACACGTCAACATTAGTTCCTTTCTTTTAATGTAATGGTGCAGGCTGAAGAATCTGAGATAGAGGAGATACTGAAGGTGCTCCAAAACGAGGTTGCTGCTGCTGAATCAGCTCTGACAAGGTTAACAATTTATCATGCAGTTATGTTAAGTTTGTATTTCCTGTTGATTTTTATAAATTTCAGTTCTTAGAAGTCACTTTGTGATTCAGGTTGAGGGAAGAGGAAGCTACACTATCTGACGATGTTCAAAGACAAAGTAATGAAATAAAGAAGATTGCTGATGAAGTATGAAGATTTTTAGCTGTTTTCATTTTTATTGTGGAGATTAATTTCCATTTCTCTGGAATTTTGAACCTCTGAATTGGAAGTTCCTTTTCTTTTGCTTGACTTTATTAATTCATCTTCTACTTTGTACAGAATGGTTTGCATTACTGAATCTAGTTTTTTGTTTTTGTGAGTCCTGTTCTATTATGCTAGTCTACATATATTATTAACTTGTTGGATTTCTCTTGAATTTCAAAGCTCCCTTTAAGTGGTCTTTCATTTGGACTATGGTACCTAATTGCATCATTCCAAGTTTCTAACATGTAGTTTCCTAAAACTGACCCAAAACCAGAGCATATATGGATGTATAGTAGATATAAGCAATTGGCATTGCCCACCCCAAAGAATAAAAAAGATTTTCCTTCGCCCCCTCCTCCCTTTTGTTGCACAACAGCAGCAAAGCACACAGTGAGTAGTTGGGGAAAAAAAAAAGCTTGCAAAACATACTTTTTTATTATTTTGCAATAGTTATAATCTTCTCCCTTTAACAAAGTCTTTAATATTATTTTATATATAATATTTGCATGTCTTTTTGATAAAATTTAAAATTTATCCTAAAATTTTAATCTGTTTCCGTTAATATTTTTGAAGGCTTTTTCTTTGGTCTGACATTTAGGAACATACTTCAATATTAATAGTATAATTTACTCTTATTCCCACTCTCTTATAAAATCTATTCCTTTGCTATTTCTTTCACGGTGCTTTCTACCTATTGAAAAATTTCCTTTTTATAATAAAATAAAAAATTGTTGGTGCAAATTTTGTTGCCTTTATTAAAAAAATTATTGAAGAATTCTAGTTAACTAATGAACAATGAATTTGATGATTGTAATGCTTGACAATTTGGTTAGATCCCTAATGTATATTTTTTATATCAAGACAATTATATTCAATGTGATATTATTATATTTCTAACCTTCATTATCATTATAAAGTATCTTTATTTTTGAAAATTCAGTTATTTTAATATATGCTATAAATATTTAAGTTAATACTTTTAATTTTAATTATTGTGAATTATTATAATTACAATTTTTTTCCTCCTCCTCCCCCAACTTTTTTGTTGCTGGTTCTATCCCTGTCTGTGATGTGTTGTTGAATTTAGAAGTGGCTGCATAATTTGTTTATGTTTAGTGATGATGATAATAAATTCAAATAGATTTTGTGGAGATTTTTGTAAAGCATGGGTTTTCCTGCAAAGGTGGAATATTTCTTGTTCATCAGCTTGAAAGTCTTTGACGTGAGTAATCCTCCCATTGTCAATTTTCTGTTCTGATCATGGTTTTGGCAAGTGATTGGGCTATCTTGGATTTTCTTTGATCTTGGGGTGCTTTGCTGCATGGTTCATTTAAAGTACTTTTGGGTATATTATACTTATGTTTTTAGTTTCCTTTTGAGGGATGCCTTATTTCCTTATTTTTCTCTTAATATTTTTCCCTCCTGTCCCAAAAAATAAATGAAACGAAAATAGAAGTTCAGGAGTAAGGAAGGAAGCCTGTTATTGCTGTTTTCTTTGTATCCTATCCCATGTTTGTTTCACATGAAGTACCGACTTGAAGGGCGGCATGCTGTTTGACACATGTTGAAGAAAAGGAAAACCTCATATTTGTACCTTTTCTGCCTCGCTTTATTTTTCTTTCTCATTTTATTTTAAGAGGTTGAATAATCCTACTTTCCCTTGTATCTCTTCATTCCGTCTATAACACTTGTTGATTATTATCGTTCTCTTGAACCCTAACTGCACAGACTAGGGTTTCACCTTTTCTGGTCATGATCACATCATCAATGATGTCTGATGATGTGATTGGCATCCTTAAAGGAGATCAATGGCTACTTCCCTGATTCTGGGTTGACCCCCCCAGAGTGTACTCTCCTTTATTTCTGTTTATTGTGTGAACTTTCTTTTCCTTTTTGTTCTTATATGGTCATATGTTTTTTATGTGTAAAAGATGATGGGCTGGTTTGTGGCCCTAATCTGTGTTTTCCCATGTAATCATCAACAATACATTGAATATAATCTTACCCCAAAATAGAAAGGGAAAAATATTGATTCAGATATTTGTTCCTTTCACCTTGATTCTCTCACTAAACTACAAGTATTCTATTTCTCCCTCAAGAGATTGCTCCTTGCAAGTTTACTAGATACGTGAGATGTGTAATGACTTTTTGGCTAACTAATTTCATTCTAAATCTTGTATGTATCTAGATACTCATATAAGGTTGTTAATCCGTATGATGCATTTTCTATTAGATTGAAGGACATGATAGACGTTATCGTGATATCAACTTTTCCATCCGTGAGCTTAAACAACACCAAACCAATAAGGTATAACCAATGTTGTTGTTATGGATGTTATTCAAATGGAATACTTCTTGAAAGAAACATGCACATTCAAATTAATACTTAATTGATTTTTTATTTGGGCAATAGATTAAAAAAAAAAACAAAACAAATGCATACAGGAGCTTCATTTTTTTATTGTAGTTTTGCTTGCTATGACAATATTGTCCTGAACAGGTCGCAGCTTTTGGAGGAGATAGAGTGATGAACCTACTGCGTATTATTGAGAGAAGCTGTAGGAGGTTTAAGAGGCCACCTATTGGCCCAATTGGTGCCCATCTGGTACCACACTATTATATTTATATTGGATTGTGTTTTTTCACTTTTGCGTATGTGTGATTGGTTGAATTTAAATGAAGTTATAATTGTTGACCCATTAAATAAGCATGGAAAAGACTTTGCTGATATAGCTATGATTTTCCACTGCATCTTATGTAAGTAATAGATGAAGTTATAGATATTTGGATTTCATGTCTAAAAAAATTCCTCCTATTTATCATGTCAGGTTGTTTTCTGTATTAATTTGATAATATGGTTTAACAGAACCTGGTCAATGGTGATAAGTGGGGTGTTGCTATTGAGCATGCAATTGGGAAGATGCTGAATGCTTTTATAGTGACTGATCATAAGGATTCTCTTCTTTTGAGAGAATGTGCAAGGGAAGCAAACTATGGTCACCTCCAAATTTTTATTTATGATTTTTCAAGATCACGGTAAGTTATTAACCAGTCTCCATCTCTGTTGCCTCCTCCCTATCTATGTTCTATCTTCCAGTTTTTTATGTTGGTTTGGCTTTGTTGATTACTATGATTTTTTGGTTAGAATTTTCCTTGATTATTTAATCTGTACTTTCTGTTGTAGATTGTCTTTACCAACACACATGCTTCCCCAGACAACACATCCATCGATCCTTTCTGTTTTATATTCAGCGAATGACACTGTGATTAATGTCTTAGTGGATCTGGTAATACTTCAACTACTAGGCCATTTATGCTTTTGAAATTTTTCATTGATGATCTATTAGTTTTCCTCAATCAGCTTCATTTTCATTATTTTGTAGTGATTCTCAGTCATTTTGGCAAATATATCAAGTATTATCTAGTTTATCCCACTTTTATCTATTCATTAAATGATTGTTTGTGATCTCCCAAAATCTGTCTTGTGACTTGTCTATTATCAGCCCCCCCCCCACCCCCAACCTCTTCTTTTGTTGGGGGGCTGGTGGCCAAACTGCTTGAATATAAGCCCTAATTTTAAGAAAAATTTTGCAAGGAAATTGTAAGAGAGAATCTTTCATGCAATGTCCTTTTTGTTTTTGTTTTTGTTTTTGTTTTTACCTTAAAGTGTATTACCCCGCCCCCCAAATCTCACAAGTACATTGTGATATGGAATCACTATTTGGTTTTTGATAAATAATGAACAATTATCTTCTTTACAAGTTTATTGGTGAAAGCAAATGCTAGAGTTTTGAATTTTTATTTGATTCTCATTGCTAATTTCCTGGTATCTAGGGAATTTGATGAATCTTGAATGTGGTTATATTGAGTATATGTGTGATAATGTAGTTTTAATGGGTTGTATAGGTTGAAATATTGGATAAATACTTTGATTTAAAATATTTTTGATTTGGCTCTGACACTTTGCCTTGCTTTATAATATATCAAATAATTATTTTTTTAACTCTATTATTTTCTGTCACCAATATATACGGTTCAAAGGATTTGTGTTCAGTATTAATTTGCAACAAATCATTATCGTGAAAAGTTAAAAGAAAAAGTATTCTATGGTCTGACCGAACAGAATCAAAGAAGGCTTCAAAGGAAATGAAGGCAAATCATGATTCTGACTCTATTTGCTTGCAGAATTGCTTTAAATAAGGTTAAAATCTTTTCTGTTTTCACTTGAGTGCAATCAAATTATGTTTTTGGAGTCACATATTGCCTGCAACTCTGCAAGAAAAAATAGAAATTCTTATGAGAGATTGACATGACATATTTTTGGGGGAATAACGGATACTGTTTATCACCAACAAAAAAGACATCGTTTGCTAAGAATTTGGAAGTATCAAGATGTTGGAATGTCAGGTATATTGATGAAGGTGTGATTCTCCTCATTTACCCGTGACAGGGAGAAGATAGGAAAATATTTTTGCAGAATGGTCTGTTTCACTATTTCTAACATATTTACTGAATGTCTAGGGGAGCATTGAGAGACAAATTCTTGTTAGGGATTATGATACGGGCAAAATGGTTGCATTTGATCAAAGGATTCCAAATCTGAAGGAGGTCTTCACCTCAGATGGATATAAAATGTAAGCTCACGCAGATTGTTATCGCCCCCACATGCAGATGCTTGTGTCTTTGTTAGTGTCTCAGGGATTAACATTGCCAGAAATAGGAATATGTATAGAATTACATGGAGATTGAGTGAAATATAACTCGATGATATATATGACAGGTAGAATATAAAGACGTAAAGGGATTAGTTACCTACCTGCACTACCCACATCCAACCTTTTCTTGCTCTGCTACCATCTCTGATAGAGTTCCGAGATAATGGTGATCTAGGAAGATAAATATTATAAATAAATATTATTTTTAATTTATTTTAGATATTTTATATTTAATAATATTGTTTAGATTTTATTAGGTATTAAGTTATCTAAATTTTATGTAGATATTTAGATATCTATAAATTTATCCATATATCTAGTTATTTAGATTTTATTCAAATATCTAGTTCTTTAGATTTTATCTAGTATTTTACATAAATATAGATTCTAGGAGATTTTATTCAGTTTTATTTAATTGTCTAGTTATCTAGATTTTATTCATTTTTAAATTGTATTTAGCATTATAAATATGCTCAGCAACTTAGAACTAGAAGCAGGCATATCATGAATAAAATAGACTTTTGAAACTTTTGGCTCTTTGGAGATTCTCCTAAGTGTGGCTATCGAGAGAAGTATAAAAACAAGATTCTTGTTTTATATTATCTTGATATATTTATTTCTTCTACTTTCTTTTATCAGTTCTATGTTCTCTTATTAATATTATGAAGTTAGATTCTGATTTTATATGTTAATAGAAATTTATCTTCCTTAGTGTTCTTTTTCTCTCTTTAATCATCTTGGAACCTATCAATCTCATTTTTTGGTTGCTTAGTGTCTTTTGGTCCCTGTTCCTCCTATCCCAATAGACCCTTCTCTTTGGATTAGTGTTCTTGTGAACACCAGACATACAACATAGCCTCCTCTTTCCACTTACTAACAATGATATTAAATTCTTAAGATACAAGATTTAGACTAACAATGATATTAAATTCTTAAGATACAAGATTTAGTTGACACAATCATGCATGATTCTGCTCATGCATTATCAGACTGCATTATTCATTATGCTTTTTCTGCAGCACCCATGTCAATTCAATAAAGTAATTAATTCAAAACTATTTATCTTAGTTTATCTGTACCAGGAAACTGTGGCCTGGAGTAATGTTACTTAAAGTTTAAACATTCGTAGTGTATGCAGTATGCACTAATCTTCTATCAGATAAATAAATTGGGGTGGGTAATTTTTTGTTGAATTTCTTGCTAGGTTTTCTCGGGGCTCAGTGCAGACTGTTCTTCCCCCTAATAAGCGGCAGAGAACTAGTCGACTGTGTAGTTCTTTTGATAATCAAATTAATGTTCTTGAAGTTGATGCATCCCACGAACAAGAAGCAGCTAATCGCTTAAAGAGAAATAAAAGGGAGGCTGAAGAGAAGCTTGAGATTCTTGATAGGCAGCTAAGGCATGTAAAGGTAAGATAGTTGCCAAAATTCATCAAGTCAATGCTTTGTTTAGCTCATAATTTTTATCCTTTGGCCATTACTAATGGATAGTTTGCAATCTGCCGTCTTCATGATGACTAAACAAAATGTAGGTCCTTTTTAAACTTGTATGGGGTCTTTAAATAGATAGATTTTGTAAAGAGCAAATGGCTTCCGAATGTTTTCACCAAATGAAGTTGGAATATGAGCTCTTACAGTTATATATTGCTGATGTTATTAATGATACTTTTTGTGACATCTATGATAAAAGAGGGATAAATATTAATGCAATGCAATTATATGTGGATTATTTAATCTCGTTAACATTATGAAGTGAACTCTTTTAATGCAGCAGTGGATCACTATAGTACATATTTTGATAAATACAATAGAGCAATGCACAATGAATTGTATAAGAGTCCAAATTGAGAAATGCCTTATTTGTACAAGAACCTTCTTTGCAATGTTCTATATAGGATGTATACCAATTTCAGGTCAAGCTTTTGTTCTATTTACCAATCAAACTGTTTATTTAACAGTTAAGCCTTTACTGTTGCATAAACATTATTTGAGCTTGCTTCTGGCATTAGATATTTGAAAACTGATTTAAAATATAAGAGGGGTAAGGCTGGTGCCAGAAGGGTGAGCGGCCCATGTATCATAATGTTTTGAAAATGTTCATTGAAACAGGATTATGACTGTACTTCCTCTTTTTTCTGTCTTGGATTCTCAGATGTACTGGGTTGAGTTTTTTGAGACATAAAAAATGTAGCCTTAGGATCCAAGTAATGCAGAATAAATGGATTTTTTTAAATTTTTCTTTTGTGTTCATTATATCCTGATGCAATTACTATAGTTATACATGGTTAAATGATTGGGTAATTAATGTTTTCTGAATTATTGATATAGCCATTTAAGCAAAGGGATTTGTTATCCCACTGCAAGTCTGTAATGTCCCAAGTGGATTAGAATTCTCATATCAGTGTCAAGATGTCAATAGGATTTCTTTTTTAGGGTGCTTGTTTATGGGCCTCTTGCGTGGTTTTATTTTTCTTTCCTGCTTTTAGTTTAGAGTTTTGGCTTTTTGGTTCCTGTCCTGCTCACTAGCTTACAGCTTTGCTGTTTATAATGAACAGTTAATCCGTTTTTTGAGTGAGATGCATCCTTGGGCATGATGCACTGACTTTCCTTGTTTAGGATGGTTCAGATGCATAGGTAGCTAGTCATTGGGAAATGATCCTTGTAAACGTTAGAGTGTTTCTTCCTTGAGACCCTTGTTAGTTGGCACCCGGGCATCCTTGTGATGCTCACATTGCAACATCTCGACATTTGCCAAATAAAAAAAAAAAAGTGCTTCTGCCTATGATTGAGGGCTTGGTCTGAGTGTGCACTTTGAGAGGGAAAATACCATTTTCATTGATTCAAAAAATATGAGTTACAACCGGTATATATACAAAGTTGAGAGATAGAATAATAAATACTAATAACTCCTAATAATAATAATTTCTAATAATCAGGGTAGCATATTTACAATAAATTCAGTATCACCACATCCCCCCTCAAGTTGGATCATAGAGGCTAATCTTGTCCAACTTGCTTATGCAACTTTCATAGGTGGGCTTATGAAGCCCCTTGTGTAACACTTGCCCCGAGTGTTATCCAAAAATCACACAATTCAAATAAACTAAGTGTGGTTAAGGATTAATCTAATCCAAAAATCAACTTAGGAAACAAACCATTTAAATCACTAAGCAAATACACAATTGTAAAGTAAACATTTAAAGCCTTTAAAAAAAATTTATAGGTTATACTATAGCACACGGAAGCAAGCTAGACGAAAGTGAAATAAAAAGATGCTGTCATGACAGCATTAAATTGCTGTTATGACAGCCTTCCTGGGCCAACTTCCGGGAGGCACCGTTTCGTCATTCGACCTTCGATCGAAGTGATTTTAAAGCTCACACGTCACATTCAAAGGGTACTATAAGTATATCAAATTTCAAAAAGATCCAACGGTCGGATTGAAAAATTAGACATGTTAAAAAATTGATTATTTTTGCTGTCATGACAGCACTTCCGGACCAACTTTCGGAGTGCATCATTTCATCATCTGACCTCCGATCGGAGTGATTCCAAAGCCCACATGTCACTTTTAAAGAATACTATTAGCATACTAAATTTTGAAAAGATCCACGGATAATTGAATTTTATGCAGGTTACAACATCAACATTGTAGCTGTCATGCTGTCATGACAGCACCTCCAGACCAAATTCTGGTGTGCATCGTTTCTCCGTCCGATATCCGATCGACGTGATTCCAAATCCCACACGAAGCTTATAAAAGGTTTTACTTGTGACCCAAATTTTAGAGAAATCCAATGGTCAGATTAAGATTTGGACACACGGATGCAAAAGTGCAGTTTTTTGGTAAAAATCATTTTCAAAATTTTCCAAATCTCATCCTAATGGTCACAAACCTGTGGGAACACTTTGGATACGTCAAATAAGACTAAAAACACCTGATAAAACATTCAAATGATGGAAAACCTCCATGCATCAAATTTGATCACCCGGGGTGCCATTTCCCAAAATGGATCCTAAACCCCCAAAATGCACAAATCATACAAGAGTGGTCACAAATCAATCTAAATACCATGTATTTATATAAATACAAATGCTAAACATTTTCACTTGGCTCAGAGCTCCTTGTAGGGCCCACGCACCCACTCTCTCTATCCAAGATGTATGTTTGCCCATAGCACACCATTTGCAATGCAACCACTTTGCAATTGCTTATAGAATCACACACACACACATATATATTAAAATAAATATCTGCTTGTAATAGAAACTTGGTCTACTAAGTAAATCCATCAAAACCACACACCATAACCAAGTTTCCTAGTCACAAGTCTACAAACAGACAAAAATTCATACACAAGCACACAATCCACACATATTCACACACATACATAATCATATCCTATTGGCACCCTAAATTTTAAATACATTACAATATATTTGCTCAAAAGAAAGGGGTTGCAGTTCTTTACAAATCACAAGCAAACCCCTAGCTTTGCTCCTTTCCCCGTTCACCACTGGATCCTTCGCTTGGACCTAGAATATTGAAAAGAAAGGGGTGAGACAACCACAGTCTCAGTAACAGCGAAATCTACATTGATTATTATAAAGTAAGCCATAATCAAATAAACGAATAATAAATTCAACATAGTATATAATTTAGCCATTTAAAATGCATGAATGCATGACCTTGGCCGGTATGGCCTTTCATGACCAACAGAATGCCCCCTGGCACTCTTTAACTCGCAGGTAAACCTTATACCTACTTGTACCTCCACAGGCACAAAACATAATCTAAGGCATGATCTAATCCACCGAACCTCCTATGCCCCTTCGACGTGAATCTAAGCAGTTGAAGCTAACTCCCTTCCAGAGCCAGCCCAACTTACTTTCCATGTGAGGGCTACCTTGGCCTAGGCACTCAACCTCACACTTCATATGTTGGATTCCCTCCCCCACTGAGAGGTGTCGAACACTCAATACACTAACCACTTTAGTGCACTGAGCTCACAATACGTAAGACAACATTGAGTACTGACAGTGTGCCATAGAATATCAAAAATCCACACCTTCTCATTGGTGAACTCCCACCGAGATCATGCCTTTTACTCTTGTCTACTTTTCCTGAGTATTGACCATTCAACACTCTAAAGTAGTATAATATTTATAAATCTCATTTTCATAAAAACATTGTTATTAAACAATTAGAAAACATATTTGCACTATAATCAAAGTAGTACCCCATAACCCCTTATAAAGCACATTTAATCTTTTAAAACATGTAATGCATGATAACTAGTAATATTTATTCAAAAATAGCTAAAACAAAGTAATAAGAAATATAAATTCCCTGTTACCTCAACCCTTTGGTACAAAAGGGTTCCCCTTGTACAAAATAGGGCTCGGCTTGTTCCTTACTTCTCAATAAGTTCCACCAACAATTTCCTACAACATATAAGTGATCCACATCACTTATCATGACAAATAGCATTAATGAAGACTATAACTCATACCACACAACTTGGGTCAATGAGTCATAATCCACCCTAATGGTCCATATATTAAACCAAACATTCACATAGTATCACTTAACCACCAAAACCATTTATTAGCCATCATTAGGCTAATTTCCAATTATATAATTTTTTATCAATTAAACCTTCACTTAGTGTCACTAACTTTCACCATTAGCCCTTATAATGAAAACCAAACCTTAATTTAAATCTTATTAGGCTCAAATAGAAAAATTATAACTAAATCAATAAGCTTAAACCATTGAAGAGCAAAAACCCAATTTCTCAAGGTTTATTTTGTGCCCAAAACACCTCTTTTCATCCAATTATCCACTCAAAACATTAGATCACTATATAGAAACTCAAAACATGCTCCCTAGGATCCAAAGAAACAAAAGCTTACAAGAATAAAGCCTTTGAGATCAAAATCCAAAAATATCCTCTTCCAAAAATTGAAGAAAATCAAGAGAAAGGGAAGAGGATTGAAGTAGGGAGTTTACCTATCGTGTAGCCGAGCTCGCAACGGTCGCAAAGACTCCTAGATCTGAACCTAACTCCCTCTCTTTCTCCTTTCTTCTTCCTCTCTCTCTCACGCGTTTCCTTTCCTTTCCTTGTTTTCTTTTCTGCATTTCTGGTCTGTTTTGCTCTTTAAAACTGATGCTAAAACATTTTGGGGCAAATTACAAGAAAGGGCCCAACATTTTTTTATTATTGCACAAAAGCCCAGGTCAACTTTGGTAATTTTTTTCATAGTTAAAAATCAAATAAAACTAAACTTTTGCTTAGTAAAATTCAAACTTTAGACCTCTATCAAATTATTCTAAATTTTAATTTAATTATAGATATTTTATTTTATTTTATTTTTATAAATCCGAGTCTTTAAAATTTCAGGATGTTACACCTTGGTTAGAACATCTGCAGCTTGAAGATTGGTAGGCAAATAAGTCAAACATATGATTCCCTTCTTCACTTTTTCTCTAATCAAATGCCTATCCACTTTTACATGTTTAGATTTCTCACGTTGAACCGGATTTAGGGCCATGCTTATAACCGCCTTATTATCACAATAGAGTTTAGTGGTGAGTCCACCTTGACATGTATCTCTTTTAAGACTCATTTCAAACACAAATTCTCTTTTATTCCCTGAGCTAATGCTTGTAATTCGGACTCAGCACTACTCTTAGAGACAACTCTTTGCTTTTGACTTTTCTAAATAACTAGGTTTCCCCACATGAAGGACCAATAAGTAGAAGTTGATCTTCTATTAGGATGAGTTCCTCTCTAATTTGCATCTGTGTAAACCTCTATGGTTCTCTGTTCTTGTTTTTGGAAGAATAATCCTTTACCAGGAGTACCTTTTAGATACCTCAAAATCCTATAGGCTGCTTCCATATGCTTCTTCTTTGGTTCATTCATGTGTTGGCTAGCCACACTCACTGCAAAGGCAATAACCGGTCTTGTATGGGAAAGATAAATCAGCTTTCTGACAAGTCGTTGATATCTTTCTTTGTCAGTGGCCTCTTCTTTCTCATTATCTTCTTCTTCTTCAATCTCATCACCAGGATCTTCTTCGTCTTCTTCTAACTCTTCCTTATTCTTCTTAGGCTTCTTTTCCTTTGGAATCATAAGAGGGGTTCAGCAGGCTTACATCCCAACATACCTATTTCCTTCAAAAGATCAAGTACATACTTCCTTTGAGATACATAGATACCTCTCTTTGATCTTGCAACTTCCATCCCTAGAAAGTATTTCAAGTTTTTGAGGTCTTTTACCTTGAATTCTTTTCCTAGAGCAATCTTTATTCTAGTTATTTCCTCGAGATAGTCTCCTGTGAGGATAATGTCATCAACATATAGAATAAGAATGCACCTCTTACCTCCCTCATCTTTAACAAACATTGTATGGTCTGACAATTCTTGCTTGTAGCCCTCTAGCTTAAGGACTTTCGAGAACCTATCAAACTATGCCTTGGGAGACTGTTTTAAGCTATATAAGATTTCTTCAATCTGCACACTTGATCACTTCTTCCTTCATCAAATCCCGGGGGTAGAGTCATGTATACTTCCTCTGTTAGCTCTCCGTTTAAGAAGGCATTCTTGATGTCAAGTTGATGAAGTGGCCACTCTAAGTTGTCTGCCACAAATAATAGGACTCTGATGGTGTTTAACTTAGTCACCAGTACAAAAGTTTCTTTGTAGTCAATACTATACGTTTGAGTGAACCTTCTTGCTACTAAGCGAGCTTTTAACTTGTCATTCACTTGCAGCTTACAAGCTTCTTACCACTCGGCCTCAAAACAATCTCCCATCTTTCATTTTTCTTATTCCATGACTGCATTTCTCTATTCTGGTATTTTTAGTGCCTCTTGAATTCTGTTGGGAATTACTACTTTATCCAAATTAGTGACACATGCTCTGTAACTCGGAAAGAGAGCCTTGTAGGACATATGCTTCTATATTGGATGTAGGGTACAAGAGCGAGGTTGTTTATGAAGAGCAATGGGTAAATCAAGATCAAATTGATCACTCAACTGTTCAGTAATTTGCTAAGGTGGATCATGAGGTACCATTGGCTCAGTCTCCTTTGGTGCTTCAGATATAAAGTGCTCGCCTTCATTGGACTTATGTTTTCGTGAATAAACCAACAAGTCTTTGTCTTTCTGCTTCTCTACATCTCCCCTTTCTTTTGAGTTATTTTTGTAACTGGCACAAGAGATGGTGGTATTGAGGGTTTTGGTGAGGGCGATAGATCTAGTAATTGTGGTGATAACGGCTCTATGGTGTAAACTAAGAATCAAGGAGCATTTGTTTGTTGCTAGTTTCTTGGTCCTAAGTCTAAGATTCCCTTATACTCTCCCCTGAATTGAAGAATTGGATAGAAAGATGTGGCTTCATGAAAAGTCACATCAAGGCTTACAAACATGTCTTTCGAAACAAGATTAAAACATTTATATCCTTTTTTAGTAGGAGAGTAGCCGAGGAAGATGCATTTTGTAGCATGTGATCCAAGTTTACTGTTTTGGTGGATATGAATAAAGGCAATGCACCCAAACACACAAAGAGGAAGGTTGGTTTCAATATGAGAGGTGGAAAAAACACTTTGCAATTTTTGGAGATGAGTGTCAAAGGATAAAATACGATTGGGCATTCGACTGATGAGGTAGGTTGTAGCTATGATATCATTACCCCAATAAAACTTTGAAACATCGTGGGTGAACATGAGTGCCCTAGCAACTTCAACAATGTGTATATTTCCTTTCTACAATCCCATTTCGTTGGAGTGTATGGGCACAAGTACCGCGATTGATAATACTATGTTTGAGTTAGAAGGCATGCAAGATTTGGTTAAAATATTCAGTACCGTTGTTGGCATGCAAGACTTGGATGGTTGTGTTGAACTGGGTTTGTATCATGGTGAAGAAATTGATGAACACAGACACTTCCTCAGTCTTGTCTTTTAAGAAATATACCCAACAAACGCGAGTATGATCGTTAATGAAGGTAATAAACCACTTTGATTTTGTATGGTTCGGGAAACAGGATAGTTTCCACAAATCACTATGGATGGTAACAAAAGGCTTTGTAGGTGTGTATGGTGTTCTACTAAATGATGTTCGATGGTGCTTTGCTTGTTCACATACCTCACATTTGACATCATAATCAGTGGAACCAAGGTTGGGCAACAAATGAGATAGATAATGGAAATTAGGATGACCCATTCTCTTGTGCCATAACAGAATATTCGTATCTTCAGAGGTTGATATAGAGTTACATACACTAGTGGCTTGTTGGGAACTCACTCCAACATTGTCAAAGAAGTAAAGCCCCTCACATTCTGTAGCACGTCCAATCATCTTCCTGACGATAAATCTTGAAAGACACAATGGGTCGAAAGAAAATTAGCACAATACTTAGACTGCTTGGTTAATTGGCTAATAGATAATAGGTTGCATGCTAATTTTGGTACATGAAGAACAGACTCCAAAGTGATAGATTCAGATATTCGAATACTCCTTTTCTAGCAATAGGAGCAAGAGATCCACCAGCAATTTTGACTTTTAAGGTTTCCAGCACATGGAACATAGGTACAGAATAATAGATGGCAATCAATCACATGATTTGATGCTCCAAAATCAACAATCCACAGGGATTTGTTTCGAGAAGTTTTTAGGGCCTGAAGGAAATTACCCGTTTTGGCAACAAAGACCAAGGATAGTGACTCACATCTCACAATTACAGCAGCATGTGATGATTGGAGTACCTTTTGTCTCTTGAAAGATAAAGAAACATAGGACATAAAATTGAAAATTACCAAACACACCACTCTGGATCCTTCCAATGGCTCATGACAGAAGCTTATGAGGATCCATAGAGATAACACATACACTGAATGAAGACACCATAGCAATGAAGTTTGAGAATGATGCTCCCTAGGCTTGGTAACGTAGGGATCTTGCTGGAACTAGCTGTTGTTGCTAGAAGAAGAAGCTGCCATCCGTCCGATGTCATGCGCCGCTTAGCGTTCATTGGCGCAGAAACTTCAGTTGGCGCATGTGAGATCCACGCGCCGTCGCTGGCCTTTGTCCACCTAAGTTCTGCCGATTGGATGTTGGTGAGTCTCCTTAGGCCGGCGGTGAGAGTCAAGAAACTCTCTAGCATTAATGGCTAGAGACATGATACTAGGGTTGCCGCGCAAGACATTGCTAGAAACTCTAGACAAAATTTTCAGATCCTAATGCTCTAATGCCATGTGGCACTTTGAGAGGGAAAATACCATTTTCATTGATTCAAAAAATGAGTTACAACCAGTATATATACACAAAACTGAGAGACAGAATAGTAAATACTAGTAACTCTAAATAATCAACAATAATCCCCAATGATCAGGGTAGAATATTTACAATAAATTCAATAACACCACACTGAGATTACCAAGGACTTGTACTAACTCAACCAAACCACTTATTAGCAGAACATCAAATCTTTGTTTTTTCCCCAGTACCTCTATTTTTATCATCAATGTTTCTGATCATTTACTTTGCTTACTGTACCATCATCTGATACTTTGTTTTGTTTAGAGGCTTTGTTCAAATGCAGTGAAGGATTTGTCTTCTAAGAAATTAGCATTCGAAGATGAGAAGAACCAGCATGCTATGGCAAATCAATCATCACCTGCATCATCTGTGGATGAGATTCAACAAGAAATTTCTGTCTGTTTTCTATCCCACACTTTTCCTTCAAATTTTACTTGTCCTTCCCTATCCCTTGAATATAAATCCAGAATTTTAAATTGAATTTTTTTACTACAAAAATTATAATTTAATATACTAGTGACTTCTATTTGTTAACTAGTGGTTCTCTAGTAATGCCTTTTTTTTGCATAAATACTGTATATGCTACTGTCATTTGGCAGAATACATGTCAAATGGACTTGTGTTATTCTACCTGTCATTATGTTATCTATTTTAACATCATCTAATTTTTTTTTTTTTTCCTTTTGGCTTGCTTGTTTTCCTTGTTTTATGAACCTATTACCTATATTCATGGATTCTTTAGGAAGGATTCCTTGCTGATAAAGAAAGGGATTGGAGTGCTTTCCAGAGCTAATTTTTTTTCCTGTTCTCCTTTTGTCTTGTGTTCTGTTTTACTAGTGTTGCTCTTTGCAATACTGAAAGATGTCTTCTAAATGCATAATACAAATATGTTTTTAATATAATAATGTTTTTGTTGTATTTGTTGAATATTAGGAAGTCCAACACGAAATACAAAGGAAGAGGGAATTGTTGAAAGAATGCCAGAGTAGGAAGAATGAAGCAGCAGTAAAGGCTGATAATCTTAAAGTATCCTTTGAAGAACTATGTGGTATGATACTATTGGTTTCTTGTTTTATATTGAGCATGATTTTTTACAGCTTCCTTTTGTGTAGAAGAATTGATATATGCACCTTTTTTTCATTGCATGGTATGTTGAATATGTTAATTATATTTAGCATCGACACAAGAAGAGATCAGTGCCCTTGAGAAAACAGAGAATGAACTAATGCAGATTGAACGGGACATGCGTTCAGCAGAAGAGGTTCCCTTACATGATGTCTTACTTGTCCTTTTCAGTGCTCAAATGTCAACTAATCTTTTCTGATCTGATAATTATTTTTCTTACAATTACACGCTTTTTTTGTCTTTTAATTTCACAGGAGAAGGCTCATTATGAAGGGATCATGCAACGCAAGGTACTCCCAGATATCAAGGAGGCAGAGGCACGCTACATGGAGCTTAAGCAGCAACGAGAGGTGCTTTTTGATATGCATCGGTGATATTAATTGGGAAATTTGAATTACCATAAAAGCTAAAGTCATCTGAGCATGGAATCTCTTAATTTGTTCTAGATATAAATAAAACCTTCTTGTGGACTTGAATAGGTGCATTATTCAAGGAAGAAGATTAGTTATTTAGTCAAGAAAATGTCTCCAAGATTTATCTACCATCAAGATATCCCGTTCAAATTTGATAAGAGATCCTTCTAATCTTAAACGAAAGGGAGAATGGAGTCATAACGGTGATGAATAAATTCCCTGGGATCCCTTGGGAAGAAGGACATTCTAAATAGGCATCTCATTTGTTCTGATATAAACCATATCATTTGCAGCAGTGAAGAAATCTTGAGAAAGATACCATTCTTTACCAATCTAAATAGGCATCTCATTTGTTCTGATATAAACCATATCATTTGCAGCAGTGAAGAAATCTTGAGAAAGATACCATTCTTTACCAACCAAAGGAATGTTTTTGCCCCCATTGTTCCCAAAATCACAAGGTTCCCATCCTAGAAGGTGATCTGTGCACTCATTTCTCAAACACTTGACCAAAAAAGTCTTGTGTTCATTTCTAACATCAATGACACCAGCTACCGTATGAAAAAGATTCATATGCCCTTATAATTTTCAATGACCACCCGGATAAACATGTAGCTGACAACCTGCTATTGCTAAATTGTGAGGACCATGTAAAACATTGATGAAAGATGAATGTAGTAAAGGATGCATAAATTCTACATTGAGTATGGAATGCTATATGGGATAATTAAGCGGGTTAGTTCTTCAACCTCAATGGCTAGCTCTTAAAGAAGGATTCTCTATCCCATGAGTACCGACCAATTGGCATAGGTTTTGGTGGGCAATAGTTTTGAAAAAGGCTAACCATGGACGGTTATGACAAGCAAGGAAGCTTGGGGATGTGTCACAAAGTGTAGCCGTTGGGGTGTCAACTCTTCAAGGATTGATGGAGACTAAGGGCTTCTTTGGCATATCTTATAGGATAAGGCTTGATGGCAAAATACTTGATAAGATTTTGATACTATCTATATTTTGGACTAACATTGTATAAAATACTGTATTGTATAAGATTATATTATACTATCTTATGTTTGGTTATATATGTAATAACACTAGATTTGATAAAAAATAACACATTTGACAAACTAGCCTTTAGTTACAATTATAATATATGTTAATCTAAAATAGTTATTTTGCTGTATTACATTAAGTTTTAGAGAACTATTATTTTTAATGTTAGGATAATTAGTATTTTTTATTTTAAATTTATAAAGTTTTGGATGTAATCTTCCAAATAGTTTATCCCTCAATTCTAAACATTCAATTTTCATTAGTTAATTTCAGTAATGCAAGTCTTGTCATAGCAAAAACTTCCAATAGCTAGGCTCAAACATCTGTCTTGCCTTTTGATGCATCTCTGTAATTGTGACAGAGATAGCGAGATAGAAGAGAGAAGGGAAAGAGGTAGAAGAAGAGAGATAGAGAGAGTTCAGAGGAGAGAAGAATAGAGAAGAGAACAAGGAGAGCAATATGAAATACTTGCTCTATTGTTCAAGATATAATCTGAATTTACAATAGGTATCTATTTATGGGCCAGGCACCTGCCCACTAACGGCTACTAACAGTCACTACTGACTTTTATTAACTAACTCCATAATGTCCTTTCCCGTCATTTATATTTATTATGATTATACATCAGTACCCCCCTTCCTAGAGACCCATGCCCTTATGGGTCAAGTACGACAATAGATGGGTACAACTAAAATTTAAGCAGAGAAATGTGGGCATTAAACTCTGAAAGCTGTTACTAGCTATTACTTTTCACTTTTCAGTGCAGGAATTAATGGAAGCAACTGAACTAGACTTGATCCTAAAAGCATTTTTATTAATCCTCCTCAGTACCATAGGAGAACAAATAAGTGGGTATGGAGAAGCTGAAGACAAAGAAAAGCCCAATAAGACAGATTCTTCTATGGCCTGGTGGTAATGTCATTGAGTGACATTGGGCCCACACAATTATCCCAATTCAGAAGATGGTTCTGGTCCATTAAAGATAAAAGGTACAGATCCTGCTTCTGAAATTTCCACCTACATGACAGCCATGGTTTTGACTTCTCAATCTGTATATGACCTAGCCACGTAACCTTTTGAACAGAAAGGACAGGGAGTTCCTTTTTATTTCTTGAAGCTCGAACACAATCCTCACTTCGCAAAACCTTAGGAGCACAAGAACTAGCAATGGACAGCCACAATGATGACAGAGCAGGGACACATGGTGACTGGCAAACAGAACCCAGCAATGTGGAAGAAACATAACTCAGCAAAGGTGAAAGAGAAGCAAGAGCTGAAGGCGACAACAAAACCAAAGAAGACTGCGGCGGAAGAGGGATTGAAGGTTATGAACATAAAGAACACTGGTGAGAAGACTAAGACAGAGGGTAACGGTGGCCTTGTGAGTTGACCAAGCTGCATCTTTTACCAGCTTTGGGTCCCAAAACTTAAGCCATGATAGATGGGTTTGCCAACACCTGCTGTTAAAGAGTTTGAAAGGTCTTGTTTGTAATACCCCAGCCTCCTTCATTTTAGAACTTGCACAAAGAAACTTTCTTGAAATCATGGACTCTCCATTCTTGCACTTCGTTGCGCGCTTTTGATGATAGCAAGGAAGACCCAACTTCCTTTTCAACTTCAATTGTCATATTTTTGGGATCCCCATTATTTCTAGAGTTATTCTGGGCCTTTTGGCTCCCACAATCTTGTAGGAATGTTTTTCCTTCATCCAGCTCCAAAAATTCTTGTGACCCACAATTTCCTTTAGGTGTGTGTGTTCCTTTCCACCTTGTTGACCTCCTCAACCCATCTTTGAATTGAAGTTTCTTGCATGCAAGCAAGACTTGCTTACAATAATGTAAGTGGCTTGAAGAGACACGTTGACTTTACAATTTCTGGCTTGAGGCCCGCCACATACATCAGAATCAAATACCTTTCAGGCAATCTTAATTGACTAGTGTGACTATCAAAGAATTCATTAAATTCTCACGCCGCCCTGCTGACGAGCCACATCTGGTTGTTGTTTTAATTGTGGAATGGAGTGTTTTTCATGGCCTAGGATAGCTTGGCTTTGATACCACTGATGCATCTCTGTAATTGTGACAAAGATAGAAAGAGAGAAAAAGGGATAGAAGAGAGAAGAGAAAGAGGGAGAAAAAGAGAGATAGAGAGAGTTCAAAGGTGAGAAGAGGGAAGATCATAGAAGGTTGGAGAAGAGAACAAGGAGAGCAATTTGAAATACTTGCTATATTATTCAAGCCATAATCTAAATTTACAATGGGTATCTATTTATAGGCTAGGCTTTTGCCCACTAATAGCTACTAATAGTCAATAACTTCATAATGTCCTTTCCCGTCATTGATATTTTTTATGATTATACATCATGTCTGGTGCCAGCCATGAAAAGATAAAAGGCTGCAGGGATTTGTGAGGAAGTGCTAGGCTTATCATGTTCCACTGAAGACAAATAGCATCCAGCCATATGATGGCCTGCTTCAACAATATTAGCACTATTTTACTTTGTGAGCCATAACTTGTCTTCAATGTTACTGTAAAAACGGTATACTTTTTGTTACTATCATTGCCTGAGAATCAACTCTCAAAAAATGGGATCACATCTCGCATTTAGAATATGGATGCAGCTACAGTAGAGCTCTACTTAAATACTTCAATAGTGGCTTCAATGGCATGCCAAAACCTCGATAAATCTGGATCTATAATTTCTGTCCATGTTTTCTTGGCAATCAAGCACAGCAGTCCATGATCTTTACCCAACAGTGATTCCATATAATATAGTCTTTCCACTGCCTGCAATCAAAACCCGTTTGTTAGTGCAACAGGTTGAGTGCATTTGTGCCCCCTACGTTCGAGGCCCTTATGCCAAACAGACTTTAATGCCTAAGTCTTACATTGAATTGAGTAGTATGGTATGCTTTTTGGGGTATTTTAGTGGGTTATTTCTCCTACCTTAGTTCAGTTGCTAATTTTTCATAGAGGATTCCTCACCCCACTTGAGAGCCCATCAAGCACTTTCAATGAATCCTCCACAATTACTATTTGCGAAATTATTACAAATCAAGAGATAGTCTTAAAAATATGAAAATAAAGAAAGTGTGTGCGAGGTATCTAGTGAGATGAAGGGAGTATGAATTCCTAAGTTTCACATTGAGCAGTATAAAATGCTCTTTTGTATATCCAAGTGTGTTGGTTCTTCCATTTCAATTGCTAGACTTTGAAGGCTTTCAATCCCTTAGGGTGCCCATTGTTTGTTGTTTAAGCTAAGTGGTCTGTGGCTTTAGAAACATCTATAGACAAGTATATCGATAGAAACATCTTTACATGTCCTCTATCAACAGCTTTATTGTCATTCTGTTCAAAATGGGGGTCACTAAAGTAAATGAAAAGGGGTTCACATGATCCCCTTGCCTTTTTGTATTGAAATACAAGTATTTTGTTGCTTGACCCCTTTCTTCCTTGAGTTTAACACTTATATTAAGCTCCTGTTAATAAAGGATGAAATCATGGAAACACCAAGATGACAAAACCTGGAGGGCTGTAACCCTTTTTCTCCACTTAACTCTAAAGGTCCTTTCCTGCAAGGACCTTATCGAAAACCCCATCTGACTCAAACATTTGGTGAAATTAAAAGAGTATCATCTGGCTGCTCATGCATCATCTACTTTAGACATAAGTTAAAAAAAAAAAAAACCAAACAAATGAAAAGAAAAGAAAAAAGTATCGTCCAGCTGGTTACTTTTCATTATTGACCTTTTAGACTTTTTTTTTTTTTTTTTTTTTTTGAGGAGGGGGGAGGATTTTGCCTAAATATAGTTGATTTCTACTCTGGTTGAATTTTGCAGGAGTACAACAAAAAGGCTTCTATAATTTGTTGCGAGGATGAACTTCAATCTTTAGGTGGTTGTGATGGAAGCACACCAGAGCAAGTCAGTGCACAGATAGAAAGACTAGCTCAGAGACTCAAGCGTGAGAGCCAAAGGTCTGTCATTTTGATTGAAGTTCATTTTCAGTTGTTTCATCAGCCGGGCAGGATCCTTTGACTACATATCTCTGTTTTTACCCCTCTGTAGATACACAGAATCATTAGATGATCTCAGGATGTTGTGTGAGAAAAAAGAACGCAAGATCATGAGAAAGCAGCAAGCTTACAAAGCCTATCGAACAAAGTTGAATGTATGTATGCTTACTTTTTTCTTATCATGATAGATTATTAGTGGATATCTTGGCCTCTAATTTTTGAAAATCAGCATTCTGTATTACTTAGCTAATTTGATTTTATTGTAGTTCCTAAAAATTGTTGCTTTTGACAACATTGACATCAATTTCCTTCCTCATTTCTGTGAAAGAAAGACTTAATTCTCTTAGGAGGAAAACTTTTAATTGAGACTTGACATCCATTCTTGCTATTAGTTTTTGCCTTCAAGAAAATTATCTATTAATTATAATATTGGTTTTTTTACCTTTATTTGTATGCTTGTATACAAATTTCTGAACTACTTGTTTGGGAAGATGCAAATCCTCAAAATATATTGACACCCATTATGATACTCTTTCATTTATATCACATTTCAAGGAACATGATTTGTATATTTCTATTCTGCCCCCAAAAAATCATTCAAATCCGATATTCATATCATTTTTGTGATTTTCTTTGATATTTTCATTAAGGCAAAGCTGGCTCCAACTAAAGATCTGTTATTGATGGTTTGATGTCATGCTGATGTGCTGTATTAAAAAAAAAAAAATCATTGGGAAAGCTTCGCTGCAATGCCACCCTTGCAGCCCTACCTAGCTCACCTTGGATTAGTTGGAATCCAATTTATCTTTTGAACAAGGGTGGTTTGATACCAAAAGTTTTTTGTGCTATAAGTTGCTCTGATGAACCATCTTTTGCCTTGTTACTGATTAGTGACCCCTTCATCACACCCATGACAAGAGATAGCGAGAGCGCAGCTTTCTATTGAATTATTTGATTCTAGAAAAATTAGGAGTAATCAGAACAATGCAATAAGATATTTATCTGTTTTAACAATTAGCACTATTTAGCTAAGCATAGACCACTTGTTCTTTGAATTGGTATAGGTAGTAAATATTCAATTTTTTGCATAAAAAGGTATTTTCTTTGCACAAATCAAGGGATTATTAGAAGAGAGAATTTCACCAATTAAGGCTAGAGGTTAGGAATTAAATTCTGATTGTTTCTCCTGTATTTTGCTAATCATCAATGAAACTTGACATATTTCACACAAAGTGTTTGTTCATGCACTTCTTGTTAATTGGGTCCTCTGTAGTTTATTCCATGCGTTTTAACACTTTGTGGTCTGCTTTTATATTGTTCTCACTTTTTTCCCACTCATGTTGAACAAATGCTCATCTCTTCATGATGTTTTCATTGTTGAATTGTTTCTTATGCAAGTTTAGTCATTTCGTTGTTCAAGTTTTATTGCTAATAAAACTTTTATCAAGTTTTTTTTCAACATTCATTGCAGGCTTGCCAGAGAGCCTTAGAATTGCGAAAGAACAAGTTTCGCAGAAATGCAACTCTTTTGAGGCGCTTGTTGTCTTGGAAGTATGATTTTTTCTCGGCATGGGCCATCTTTTCCTCTTCTATTTTTCTCTGTTGCATTGATATTAGACATATATTTTCATTTATTAAATTATGATCTTGAGTAGATTTAATGCCCATTTGGGAAGAAAAGGATTCAGTGGACTTATCACAGTCAATTATGAAGAAAAATCCCTTTCAATCAAGGTAAGTTATTCTCCTTATGTTATACTGTTCTTCTTTTGCTGCCATTACATATAGGAAAACACTAAAATGTAGAGAGAAAGGAACAGGTAAAAAGGTTTAAAACAAGAATCTTGGCATAATAGGTGTGACTTCTATTCCATTGTCTTCCTTTACCGTTCCTAGGTAGAAAGATGAAGTGCTAACGATAAGTCTCTTCAATTTTCTCATAGCTGTTACACATATTTGCTCTCCTTTATCTTCCATGTATAGGTGCAAATGCCTCAAGATGCATCGGGATGTGCTGTTCGTGACACACGAGGCCTTTCGGGTTAATTTCTAGCATTTATTTATATTATGATTTAGTTAATAAACCTACACAAGAGCTCTACGTAGCAGCTCCAATGTTGTTTTATGAATGATGTGTGTGGATTATCAATGAATGATCCAATCTTTTTTTTGTGGACTTAATTGTATTGTATAAATTGCAATGGAATTATGATGAATTTGCCTCTCGTTATACATTCAGTTATTTTGTGTTACTAATAGGATGTTCCAATATGAATAAAGACTTCCCGCCACGTCTATGACTGGTGTTTGTGCATGATTCCTATCCTGTGTTTGTCTATGTTCTTTTACCTTAAATTCATGTATATTTCATACTTCTATTGATTATACAGACACATATAGTTCATATAAATCACAATGTATATTTTTAATTATTTTGATAGAGCACAATGGCGTCTTGCAATCCATGTAGCCGACCCCACCTAGTGGGATAAAGGCTTGTTGTTGTTGTTGTTGTTGTTGTATATTTTTAATTATTTCTATAGGGAGCAGAATTAACCATTTGAAGTATTTTTTCTATAATTTTACACCTCAAATGTGATTGACTTTATGGTATAGTTCTGACTTATTGGTCCCCTTCTGATTAAAACTTGCTTGTGAAATTTGTGAAATGCAAAACCCATACAAAATGATGTAGCTAGTACATTTGATTGTTTCCCTTTTGATTGGATAAGTTCAAGACCGATGCTGAATCTTTAGGCCCCTGCTAGTTGTTCTCCATCATAAGCTTTTTTGTGCCAATCAATGCTCTACATTCAATGACTTTCAAAAATGTCCTTCTTGGTCTCCCTCTATCTCTCTTTATGGGGCTAAGGAGAGATAGAGGGAGACCAAGATTGCAACGGGCTTCTTAAATGACTTTCTTCTCCCGCCCCTCCTTAGACTGCAATGGCCTTCCTAGTACATGACCAAACCATCTTAAATGATTTTTTACCTTTTCATGCTCAATAGATGCTACACCAACTTGTCCTTTTATATGATTATTACTTATCCTATCTCTTCTTATATGACCACACATCCATTTCCATATCATCATCTCTGCTGCACCTTTTAATTTTATGCTTGTGTTACCCTTTCAATGCCCAACATTCACTACCATATAACATCATTGATTTTATAGTGGTCCAATAAAACTTCTCTTTAAGTTTATTAGGGCAAGTTATCAATTGTCCCAGTAAGACATTTATTTCCTGAAATTCTTGATCAGCATTTGCTATGCATAAGCCATGTGAAATCCATGTAGGCTTGGATTGTGAGAAGTGCAAATGAAGCAAACAGAAATTTAATTAGTGATGCATCTTATACGATGCAGATTTTTATTACTCCCCCCTCATTTGCTTTTTGTCCCACTTTCTGCTGAGTCTATGTTACTTTCTGCTGTTATAGTATTAATTATGTACCCACAAAGAACATCTTCGTTCCTTTTTCTACCAATTAAAGCTATTATTTACCATTCATTTCATGTTCGTTGTTCCTTCTCTTTAGGTGGGGAGCGTTCTTTTTCAACATTATGCTTTACACTAGCCCTTCATGACATGACAGAATCCCCTTTCCGCGCAATGGATGAATTTGATGTTTTTATGGTATGGTCATGTTTGTCTCTTTTGTATTTCTCTCTTCATGCCTTTGTGATTGGAATTGATAATTGTTGGAAAAATGGACATTTCTTTTCATTCATCTACAGGATGCAGTCAGTCGAAAGATTAGCTTGGATACTCTTGTGGATTTTGCTGTGGAACAAGGATCCCAGTGGATATTGATCACCCCACATGATATTAGGTACTTGTTTCCAAGTAGCCTTGACTGTTGTTGTCAGGCTTGTATTGATGGTATCCCCATCACACCCTAGTCATTAATTGGTTAATTTAATACTATATTCTTTATATCTAGAGAGCACAATTGCATCATGCAATTCATGCAGGCAATTCCACCTAGTGAAATAAAGCTTGTTGTACTCTTTATATTTATCATGCCTCTCCCAAATTAGTCGTGTCACTCACTACATGGCTTTTAAGGGTAGGCCTGGTTGCATGATGGAAAGGGGAATGGAGAGGTGCTGTGAAAGATAATAAGTCTCAAATGCCTGCACAAAAAAAGCAATAAAAAAAGATGAAATTTGTTGAATAACAATAACAAAGGGGTAATACAATTTGGTGCTTCGTTTTCCGTAAGGTGTTGCCAAACATAACTCTTTTAGTGCCTGGCGTGATCCATCTAGTGAGAACCTGGTCATTGAATATAGAGTTGAACTTCTCACTACAAAGGTTCTGATATAATGTCAAGACCATCTCAGCTCAGGCTAAATCTTTTAACTGAAGGATTTTGATTTTTCCCCAAGTTCATTGAATTTCCCTGTATTACGAATTATTATATACTTCTGTTATACTTCTAACATTTCCTTTTCATGCTTCAAAATGCAGTATGGTTAGGCAGGGAAACAGGATAAAGAAGCAGCAAATAGCAGCTCCCCGTTCTTGATCAATAATCATCATCTGTAATTTATTTGAATGTCTGCTTTAGGTGTAGATGTGTAAGTATGGTTCAAAGCGTTCTACTGTTGCCTTCGGTGCCAACACAGCACCAATGACCTTTTGCTAAGGCTCATTGGACAAGGTTGCGGGTTCTATATCGCCTGCCAAGGTAGTGTGTGTGGGTTATGTATGTTTTTCGAAAAATGAACTGTTCGGACTTGCATGACATGATGTAGATATGCCTGCCATTTTTGTTGCTTGACTACCATTTTTTGCTGGCACTAGTGAATGGTAAGCAGATTTACATATTCCTGTAGGCAGTAAAACTGAGGCAGACTTTTTAGCTAACCACAATCAGCTGTTGCAAGTCAATTAAAATGCATTGGAAGTTGGGTAAGGGAAGATATTTTCTTCCTTTGAAATATCACATTATTGTAGAAGAAAATTTTATACATAAAGCGTGAAGAGGAGGATGGCCATCTCCCAAATTTTTCTCTCCGGTCTCTTTTATAAGGAATCTGTAACTATTTGGTCAGAACTATGGAAATCGAGTTGTTATTAATTTTATGAGAAAAAAAAATAAAATTTTAATTTTATTTCTATTTAAATTAAAAAAATAAACTTGCATTATATTTTCTCTCATAATTAATAAATTTAAATAAACGTAATATTAAAAAATGTAATTAATACCATATAGTGCGGCTTATGTTTCTAGAAGATGTCTTGTAACAAAGGTAGGAAATATTTGAAAATCTGAAATATTTCACACATGTCCGCAGAAATATCATCGTGCCTGGTCATAGAATGGAGAACGAATTAAGTGAGCAAAATGGTCTATTCCATCATGGGTAAGGAAGAAACCAATTTATATATTATACATAAATTATTCACATTATTAGATTTATATTATTTATATATTTTTAAATAAATTCAGTATTACATAACAAAAATTACATATAAAATTCGTGTCCTTTTTATATAATCCACACTAGTTTCAAACTAGTTTTTAAAATTATGCATTCAAATACAAATTTTGTTGCAATAAATAATTTCACTAAACTAATTTTTATTAAGTAAACTTTGGGCAAATAAATTTTTGGCCAACAAAAAAAGCCAAACATTCGTAATTAAATATTATTTTGTTTTCATTAGCTTGGACATGATTAATTAAGGTCCTCAGTAACATCCAATAGGCACCAGAGAATCCAAAGTGGAAAAAAGCACTCATGGAATGAGAAGCAAAAGAGAAGTTAGTTTTGCCGCATGGCAAACAACCAATTCATTAATTAGTCATTTGTTAGTTGCTCAAGTCTTTGCACAGACTTGTGAGATAAACTATAATCTGACATTTGTATCTATCCTTGGCAATCTTAATTGGAATCTTCAACATTTCGACGTAAAAAAATTCATTCTTGATTGGTGATTTAGCTGAAGAGGTAAATATGAGTTTACCACTTAGGTTCAATGGGAAGAGACAAATTAATTAAGTAAACAGACTTGAGAAACCTCTATTGTGGGCTTAAGCCATGTCCCAAAGCATGGCTCAAGAGATTTAAATTGTTGTGAAGGGTACAAGTGTTGGCGGTAGTAATCAAGTTGTTTGGTTTGAATCATGCTCAAAGATACTGCTCTTTGAGGGTTATTGATTAGTCTTGCAAACAATACATTTTAACACTTTCTCCTACCTTATATGAAGGGACTAGAATAATAGAGCTCTAGCACAATTAACAAATAACTTGTTTTTGCACCGTCACTGCCAATTTTAAAACAATGAAGAAACACAAATAAAACCCTCCAAAATTGATTTTCTGCTTTCTCTTGTAGGTCTATGCAATTGAGGTGATTGTTGAGGCTATTGAGTTTGTTCTGTAAGAATGTTTATTTGATCTTCCATAGAAACAATTACTTGATCTTGAATGAAGTTTTGATTAACATTATCTTGTAAGAATTGGTTTTGGAATTGAAACCAACTCTTCCTTAAATATAATTTTTTCCAATCTTATTTCTCCTCCAAACTCAACAAGAAGAGGGGTCTCTTCATTTTTTATTTCCATTTTCACTCTACTTCCTAATCATAACCATTTTCACCACTGCATTAAATGAATTTTGTTTTAGTCATAAATTCAATGAATGGTCATAATTAAGAAGTGGAAGAAAAATGATGCTAAAGAAAGGAAGAAACCCCTCTCCCAACTCAACATCTTCAAAAAAGCATGCAGTTCCTATCTCAAACATAGTTTTAAGTGTGGGATCATAAAACTTATAAGCCACTAAAACGTTCAAAGTAACCAATAAAATAACCACCAACAGTTTTGGAATCTAGCTTCTTTTCCTAAGGCTTATAAGGTGTTTTAGCAATTGCTTTAATTGACACTGTTCAAAATATAGGCTATTGTTTTAATTGTCTGTTCCTAGAGTGACTCTATTAAGGTGGAATGACGAATCATACTCCTCACCATATCTTGAAGAGATTGGTTTAGCCTCTTAATTCTTTTATTGAATTGATTCTCAACTTCTTCCTTAAAGATTTTGAACATATCCAAAACTTGTGATTTTTCATAAATTAAATATATATACACATACTAGGAGTAGTCATTTATAAATGATATAAAGTATTGTTGACAATTCCATGAAGACTTATGAATGGTTCACACACATTTGTATGTATCAATTCTAAGACAAATTCAAATAAAAAAAAGTTTAAATACCCTAGGCGTTATTGACAATGGTTATCTATATAAAAAAAATATCCAAGGCATTATTGACAATGGTTCTATGTTTGTGTTACGTTAAAAAAAAGCCTTGGATATTTTTTATTATGGAGAACTAACTAAGCCGGATTCAAATATTGTTGGACTTTGGCTAATTGAGAGTAGCTATCTCACAAACCTTTTTTGTCTTCAAACAAGTTTAATTAAAGGAAGAATTACATCTAAGGACCACTTAAATAAATTGTTCATAAATAATGACTAACAACAAATTCTATTTGAGAAAAATAAATTATATTTTCATTTTAACAATAATCTATTGTGTATTGATCCTTATATGTAAATAATTTTTTTGAGTTATCCTTGGATGTGATTCTCCCTTAATTAAATTCAAAATCTCGTATTTAAATGGCAATAACTTCTTTAACTAGAAGCAATTTCTATTGATCTGAGTAATTTGACATCATGTAATTAAGAAAATACCTGTGACAAAAACAAATGCGACGACAATGATTTTCGATTTGTACTGTTCGACACTATAAACCCAAGAAAGTGATCTTAATTTGGAGACAAATCCCAGCTTTACACGTTACGAGTTCAAGTTTTTTGAAGAAAACTATTTTAAAGGTGATAATATATTTTTTTATATGTGCGCTTGTTTTTTAATTATCTTTTGTTTTTATTTCTAATTTTTGATTATTTAAATTTTATACATGCATGTGTCACTGAAATGTATGTCCTATAAAATAATGGCCATTGAGAATATTGGTTATACCAAAAAGACTATAAAAACCACATGTGCCATGAAATTGACACTTCCTCACTCACTAATTTATTAATTTAAGGCATTTTCTCTCAACTTTGTAACTATACATACTTTATAACCTTAAGCTAAGATAGTATAATCCTTCCCGTTTATAATACAATATTGTTTTTTTAAATTATTTTCGGTCTAAAATTTAGGATGCTTTATAGAAGTCTCAAGAAATATATTTTTATTCTTACCTCTATGTTGGTGAGTTGGTCAATACAAATTGAATAATTATGTTAAGGAAATTATGCTGTTAGTTGTTGGTAAGGGCAAAATAAATAAATAAAAAAAGCCACTTTTTCATGAGATTAAAAAAATAATTTTTCTTAATATTGATAATACATGTTGAAAGTGTCTTATACTATATATGAACATGTGGGAGTATATAGTGTTTAAATAGGAAGGGAAAAAAAATACAAATTAATTATTTATGATTGCTAAAGAGCATGCATGCATTTATATGTCCCTTTGACCATTCAAAAGATTAGGTAAATTTAGTTTCATGCATTGCAAAAAACTAGATTTTACTTCGATGCAATGCACGCCATTACAAATAATTCAAAAAGATTTCACGAAAATAATATCATGAATTAGTTGTAGTATAATGAAAGACTTTGTAGAAGAAAGATTAATGCAAATGTTAAGAACAATATATTATTCAGCTATATTATCAGAATTATAATGCATCGAATTTAATAGATAATAATATACTTAATTTTGAAATAAATTTGTATTGAGTTCTCTTGAATTATATTATAATAGATATAATTATAATATAACGGTCTAAAAGATAAAAATAATTCAATTTTTATTATTACGTTGATTTTAATATTTTAAATCAATTTAAATTTGATCTTTATGGTTTAAGAGATTAATTTCTATCTTTAATTATCCATACAAACTTTAGTCCTAGATTAATTTCTATCTTTAATTTAAGTGAGATTGCTTTTGGTAATAATAATCCTTCACAATGACGATTAAGATTAGTCTAGATGGAGATAGTAATACCCTAAGATTTTTAGGAGATAGGGTGATGAAATTTAAAAAAAAAAAAATCATAAACATAGGCCCCACCTATAACGAAGAAATTGCTTTTCCCTTTTCAGGTAATTACTAACTGCCCTAAGCTATAGTAACCAATAGTTAAAAATGTGTGCAAAAAATAGTTACCGTTAAAAATATTAAAATGCTTTCTCAATAATTGGCCCTGCTGAATTTTTCCATGCCCATGCGTGTTATTAATTTTTTTTTATCTGGTCAAGATCACACTTAACTTATTTATTTGCAAAACTTAATTGACTTAGATTAACTTTAATATTTCTTAACAACTATATATCACATACTTATTTGATATTAGCTATTGACAAGTAAATACTTGGATATTGACCTGGAAATTAAAATTGAATATGATATATTATATTATTAAAGTGGCATCAAGTTTTTGATGGTGTGGTGATTTGGGGTGGTATTTCATATTTTGCCTGCACAAAAGTTGATAAAGAAAGTTAAGCAGTGGTTGGAGCAATTGCAGGCCTGCTATTGTGTGAGGTGCTCAAATCAAAAGTGTAAATTTTAAATGTGGCTGAGATTAGGAACTCAATATGTTTACAAAAGCCTAAGTGCTAAAGTGATTGTGCTTCCCAACTTTTAATATCTACTCCTCCTGGAACACACAATATAAAACATATTCTAAAAGTTTTATTTAGTTCAAAATATAAGATATTTGATAACTTTTATAATTATTTTTTTCAACTACACACCTATTTTATTTATTACTTTTTTAAAAAAAATTATCTATTAAAATTTTAATTATTATTATCAAGGTTTTTGTAGAGAGTATTTAATGAGGTTTCAAATATATTTTTTAAAAAAAATTAAGGTTTTAATTAATATTTTTTAAAATAATGAATTAATTATTAATGTCTTATATTTTGGTCCGGAAAAAGTATATAATTTATGTGTGTGTGTGCATGCTCCCTCCACTTAATCACATTTTCTCAACATTAATTTTATTTAAACTCATTAATTATGGAGAAAATGTAATATTTTTAATTTAAAAATAGGGATAAATT